ATAATTTTAATATAAAAAATTTTATATGAATATAATAAAATTAGATAAAATTATTCATATAAAATTAATTATAAAATAAATATCAAAATATATGTAAACATAATATATATATATATAATTTTTTGCCTAATATTTTAAACAAATAAAATATTCTGTGTATGTTTAGTATTATATAAAATACTAAAATGATATATTAAAAATAGTATATTAAATATACGATTAGATAACAATAATAAATATTTATGTCAATATTATAATTTTTATGTTATTATAATATATGAATATTAATATAAAAATTTTTATTTATAAAAAAAAACTTACATAACAGTCATATTGCATAATAATATTTTCATTTATATATTGTAAAGGGAAAACTATTTATATTATCATAATATATATACATATGATATCATTATAACTTATATATATTTTTTTGTTATAATTTAATTTGAAAGATTATTGTATTATTATAAAAATTAATTCAAATATTTACTATTTTATACTTAAAATACTAAATATACTGTATGTAAATTGATTTATTTTTATTAAACAATTTCTATCAATTGACAAAAAAAAGTTTGCAATAGCTTTTATTTAATAAAATATTAACTTTAATATATTATTGTTATTATAATTTTTTGACATAAAAATCTCATGGGTAAAATTTTGTTATTTTTAAAAATATAGATTTAAACAAAAATAAATTATGACACTAGAGTATTAACAAATTTATGTAAATAATGTAATAAATTATAATTTTTAAAAATAAGATAATTTTATTATAAATTTACATTATTTATTGTTATTATTATTATTAAAATTCTAATTATTTAATGTTATTTTTTTAAATACTTGTTGTTAAAACAAAAATATATACTTATTTTTTATTTTACAAATTTTAATATATCCAGTATATTGTTTTAGCACAATTTTTCTATAATATAATCAATTTAAATATTTTTATATTTTATTAATAATGTTTTCAATAAACATTTAACAAAAATAAATTAATTATGTTAATAAAACATGTTAATTATTTTTTTTTTAAATATTTATATATTTTTTAAATAGTCTAAATATAACTAATAAATAGTATTATATAAATGTAATATTATTTTAATAAAAAAAACTTTAGTTTAATTATTGTTATATTTAATTTAGCATAATTTTTTTAATAATAGGATTTTTATATTTTTAAAATTAAATCATAAACTTAGTGCTTAAATAATAATAATTGTTTTCTAACTATTTATTATTTAAGTACACTTAAAAAATATAACATTAGTTTTTTATTATTATAATGTCTACTAAGTTATTAAGGTTAGATTAGTTTGGAGTAACTGTACTAACATTATTAAACACTTGTTACTAACATTTATTTTTTGTTGTATTCATTATTAACTATTAATAATCATCACAATTAAAAAAAATTACAATAAATGTTTATATAAAAGTTATTTTTTTAAATAAACAATGTTTAAGTACAATTATTATCTAACTTATTATTATTATTATACTTATATTTTTTTATTGTACAATTTACTAACTATATACATAATAATAATACTTTTATTTTCAATTCAAATAAAAAACTATGTCAATGCTATTAAGCAATTTCATCTATACTATAGATTCTATAGTATATTAGCTAAAAATATTTAATTGATTTTTAGAAAATAATAGCAAACAATAATTGTGGTTTTGAATAAATATACAACAAAAATACAAGTATTAACCATCAAATATATATATATATTCTATACTATACAGTATATACATATATATATATGTGTGTTATATAAATAATCAATTAATTGCGGCACCAAAATGAATGACATAATAAAATTTGTTATAACATAAACACTGTATAATTTCAATTAAACTATATGTTATAATACTGTACAGAATCTAACTATGTTTACAAATGTGTAGGTTTGTTATATATATATATATACTGTAATAATAATAACAATAATATTGATATTTGTTAAGTAGTCAACAAAAACTTTTATATTAGATTTTTATTTATATAAATTTATTGCTTATATATATAGTATATTGCTCTAATATATTATTATTATTATTATACAGTATATTGGAGACACTTTTCAATTAATGATTTCAATTTTATCATTTGAAATATAACTCTATGTTAAAAAAATAATAATWATTATATAAATATGCACTACAATTGTGTGTGTGTGTGTGTGTGTGTGTGTGTGTGTGTGTGTGTGTGTGTGTGTGTGTGTGTGTGTGTGTGTGTGTGTGTGTGTGTGTGTGTGTGTGTGTGTGTGTGTGTGTGTGTGTGTGTGTGTGTGTGTGTGTGTGTGTGTGTGTGTGTGTGTGTGTGTGTGTGTGTTTGTGTGTGTGTGTGTGTGTGTGTGTGTGTGTGTGTGTGTGTGTGTGTGTTTAAGTATATCATATATTACAATTATTAATTAAATTTTATATCATACATTTTTATAATTAATTTTTATTATTATTAGTATATTTTTATCCTTATTAAAGTGTTAAATAAATTTAGCATTAATTTTCTATTTAAGTAAAAAAAATGTTTACAAAATTTTTAATAAAATGTAAATAATTTATATATGTATTAACTATTAATATAACTAAATACTTGAAATAACAAAAATCTTATTTTATTATTTTTTTTGTTTAGTTTAATTAAATTTGTTATTTCAAACAAACTAAGCTATAAAAGATTTTTGTTTATTTATAAATATATTGAATATATACGGTATACTGTATATACTGATATATACAGTATTTTTTGAGGATATATTATAATCTTGCTTAAATAACTATTGTTTTATGCAATATGCAAGTTGGCAAAACATATATATATATACAGTATATATAGCTATAATCTATAGTAAACTTTTTATATATATATCTCTCAAGTTTATTATTTTTTTAGTTGTATTTTTTGTTTATTTTATTTGTATTTATATATCCATTAGAGAGAGAGAGAGAGAGAGAGAGAGAGAGAGAGAGAGAGAGAGAGAGAGAGAATAGCCATTGAGAATCGGATCAACAATAGTAATAATAATAATAATATTCTCATGGATTTTATCTAACTATCTATACATACATACAGACATATATATATATATATATACATAAATCTATATCAATATAAATAAATATGTCTTATATCTGATATCTTATTGGCTTCAAAAATACTAATGCATTTCTAATGTTTTGTTTTTTGTTTTCCTATATAATAATATAGACTGTACTGTATGTGTGTCTGTGTTTGAGAATCCTATCTTATATTTGAAATGAAATGAATATTATCTTATATTATTGAAAAAAAACTATTATTTATTTATTATTTTTTTCATCATTATTATCATTATTTTCAATACTATCTATTGTCAATATAGTCAACTAATAATAACAATAATAATAATTAAAAAAAATCATATGCAAAAATCTTTATATAAGAGAGAGTATAGATATTTGTAAATTATTAATATCTAGTATTAATATACTGTATATAATACTGTATATATATATATATATATATATATACTATATATCATGCAATATATATAATAGTATTTTATTAATAGTAATATATTAAACGAATATGTATTTTATTGAAATACAGTATAACTCAATAACAAAAGCGATATATAGAGTATACAAATAATACAAACTATATAAATATGAAAAATTTATTAATAATAAATTGAGGCAAATATGTTATTATTATTATTATTATTATTACAGTTTTTTGTTATAATAATACTGTACATACAAATATATAGTACAGTCAGTATATTTGATTTAATAAAAATGTTTTTAATGTGCTATGAAATCCTATGTGTGTTTTATATGAATTTATTATATATATATATATATATGTATGTATGTATATATATACAGTATATGTATATAATATATAAATAAACATTATTATGTAGACTATAAAAATTTACACCAATTTTTATATCATATGTCAACATAAAAATTGTATTAATCTCTCTCTTTCTTTCAAATGYTTTTATATAATAAAATATTGTATAGTATTATGATATACAGTATATACAGTATTTTTAGCAATTTTACAGAAATTTTATTAAATATATACAATAAATATATTTTTATATTTAGAAATAATTTCACATTCTTGTATGACATAAACATTTTACAATTTATAATACTATACACTGTATATATATATATATATTATTTTATATTATATTATTACTGTATATTTTGAATTTAAAAAGCAAGAATATTATTTTATCATATATTTTATACTTATTTTTATATAAATAACTGTATCACTATGTAAACTGCACATAAAGTATCTAAATATGGCATATTATTTAAGCGCTTATGTAGCTTATTAAACAGTATATATTAAACAATATATATCTAGGTAATATAATAAAAAAAATTATCATATAGTTAACTTTATAAATTTATAGTTTATTGAATTAAATAAAGTTTTAGAATTGAAATTCAATAATTAAAAAAATAATTTTATAAAACTAAATAATAGAATTATTTACTGATTTTGTATATAATTATATTAATTTAGCTTAAATAATTAATTATTTATTTATTTATAGTTAAAAATTTAAAAAAATCTTGATTATGTAGTAATTTTTATAAAAAATTATACGTTTATTAACTAATATCAAATTATGTATTATTTTTTAAACAAACATTTAAAAAGGATATTTTCAATAGAATCTATAATATTAAAATGTAAATTATAATAAAATCATATATATATATATATATATAATAATAATAATGAAACAAATAATAGAAATTATTATCTTTAAAAAAAATATTTATTTTTTTCAAAAAAATAGTTATATCAATTTATTACTTAATATAATATAATAAGATTTAAAAATAATAAACTTTATAAATAAAATAATACTAATTAATAATTTTATTTATTATTCTRTGTCTCTATTATATATGATATATATATATATAAAATTATCTCTTTTTTATCAAAAAAAAAATTTCAGTCTAATAACAAAATATCCGGAACTGTCAAAGTTGTTCAAAAAGTTTATGACACTTCGCGATGATGGCAAATATGATTGGGATTTGGATGGACTTCAACGACACGCCAATCTAGTAATGCAGGGCTTGGAGGCGGCCATCGATAATCTGGATGACAGTCGTGTACTATCGCTTATACTCAACGATTTGGGCCGAAAACATGCCAGATATCAGGTCCAGGAGGACATGTTTGATGTAAGAGTTTTTATTTTTTATAAAAAAAATTATTATTGTTATTGTAAATAATTTTGATTTTTTTATATACTTTATTGATTAAGAAAATTATAATTTATTTATATCAATGTATATATATTTATATTTTTGTCTATACTTATATTTTTGTCATATATTGTATATATATATATAAATATAAATTTATATGAATACAGTACAATATTTATCTAAAAAATTATTATTAGGTTATTATTTGTATTATTTATAAAAATTATTTTTATTATTATTATTATTTTCTATTTACTATTTACAATATTTGCTATATTATTGATCATATTACATGAATAATAATAATAATATTAATAATAAAAATGATAATAAAACTAATCATACAAATAACTTATAAATATAGTATACTGTATGAAATAAAAATATTAGGTTACACAAATAAAACTCAATAAAATAAATCTGTATAGTATATCATATATTGAAGTTATTTTGAAGTTATTAGTTTTAGTCATATTATATATATTTGTTGGTGTTGTTGTTGTATATTTCAATATTATAGTTAATAATAAAAATTATTATATTTACGGTATATCATATAAAATATCATATTAAAGTATAATACAGTTAAGTTTTGATTTTAGAAAATTGATATAATTCAATAAAAAAAATATTTAATATAATTGAAAACATAAAACTTAATAATAAAATAATTGAAAAGCTTTTAATAATTTTTTTTATATATTATATTTTTTATTTTAAATAACTCATATGTGCTTAAAGTACAGTATATCGATATTTGATATAAATATATAGATTTGTGTGTATGTGGTATGTGTGTGTGTGTGTGTGTGTGTGTGTGTGTGTGTGTGTGTATGTGTGTGTGTGTGTGTGTGTGTGTGTGTGTATGTATGTGTGTGTGTGTGTGTGTATGTATGTGTGTGTATGTGTGTGTGTGTGTATTCATGTGTGATATATAATAAAAAGATAGGCATTTATTGATAGAGTAATACATAAAAATGTTATATAAAAAAGATTTTTATTTTTTTCTGTGTGTGAATTGTCTAAACAAGATATATATAATCGATTGGTTTTGTCCGTGTATTCAATAAAATACTTATATTTGTAGTAAATATAATAATAATAATAATAATAACAGACTTGAGTTTTATTTAGTTTTTTATTGAGTCTCTCTCTCTCTCTCTCTCTCTCTCTCTCTCTCTCTCTCTCTCTCTTTCAATATATAAACTATAGTAAAACTGTTTTGTAGATATTTTGTGCCAAAATTTTATCATACAATATGTAATACCGTAATAAAGACATTTCTATAGCTTTAATACAAAAAAATCTTTCTTTTTTTATTTTAAAAATAAATTTGTTATGATATTGCAAATAATAAAATAGATAAACAAACAAACAAACAAATGCACAGTAATTATACTTTATATACATTATATATAACATAAGTTATCTATTTATTACTTAAACTGGTCAAYACTTTAGATTTTTAAAGTAAAAAATTTTTACTATAAATATATTTGTATAGTTTGTAAAATTTTAACTTAAAAAACATTAAATATTTTTATATCAATTTTATAATTTAATTTTTATTAGTTTTTCTCTGCAATTGTTATATGTAATGTTTTTTTTAAAGTTTTATCCATAATATCAATGAGACAATCAATTAGTTTTAATGTTTAAAAATAAGTATTTACAATAAAATAATTATATATATATATAATAAAATTTATATATTTTACATTATAAATTGGTATACGATTAGTTGTATATTTATTAGTAATAATTATTATAATAAAATTGGAAAAAATTATTTTAACTTTTTAAAGTTAAATTTAGTTTAGTTTATTTATTTGTTTTTTGAAGGTATTCAATAACCAAATTATAATAATAAACATAGTTTTTATAGAGATTTTACAAAAAAATTTAATATTATAATATTTAAATTTTTTGTCTATAACATGTAAAAAATTATTTTGCATTTTTATGTTTAAAAACTTACAGTTATTGTCATTTAAATTGCTATAAAACTTAATGTATTTCTAAAAAATATATAAATATAAAACTTTATATTTCTATAGAATTTTTATAACAATATTACTGTATATATGACATATAAAGCATGAATTATTTATAAAATGTTATTATTTTTCAAAAATAAAGTCTAATTTTGATAAATAAATATAACATATATTTATACAAAAATAAATTTTTATATATTTGTTTTATATATTATATTAAATAACTATATTTAATTTCTATTATATGATATACTGTATATGTGTAATAAATATTAAAAATTATATATATATATATTAAATATATAATTGTTTCTAGAAACTGAGTTTTTTATTTATAATATAAAATTTAAATATAAAAAACCTAATTATATTTTATTCAAATTTTATGTTTAGAAAATGTTAATTTTTTAAAACTAGTATTAATAAAAATTTTAATATATAATTATTTATATATTTAATAAATTATAAATTAGACTATTTTTTAAACATATATTAGAAAATTATTAATTTATTATATACAGTGAATAAATTACTAAATATTAAATATATAGTTTTATTTTTTTTAAAAAATTATTTAAGGTTTTTAAAAATTACAAAAAATTAATATAAATTTATTATTTTTGAATAAATAAACACAATTTGTCATAATTATTAAATTTATTAATAAATAAAATAACAACATCTATAATACATGTACTGAAATAAATTGTTTATTTTAAATTCAAATAAAATATACATTAAATTTAAAGTAAGTTTTATATATACAGTAGATTAATATATAATAATAATTACTTAATACTGTAATATCATTAATAAGTGTATGATAACAAAAAAATATGAATTAATAAAATATCTAGTAATTAGTTATTCACATTACTTGATGTACTAAAATTAATATGAATTTTCTAAATGAAAGTAATAATAATAATAATAATAATAATAACACACAAAATAAATAAACTAACAAACATAACACAAAATAGTTACAAAACATTAACTTTTTTACTTTATAAGTACCGTATTATTAATATTAACCAATAATTATTGATGTACTCTACAGTATATCTAATATTTATACATTATATACAGTATTCATCAAAATAATACTAATAATAATAAAAAGTTTGTTTGAACTAACAAATTGCAACAAATAAAACTATACTCATATATACTGTATTATGTAATGACAATAAATTATATATATATATATAACAAATATCTATMTATTAATAAAGCAATAGATTGTAATTGGATGTACAATATATAATAACTGTATGATAATGATAATGAAAATAATAATAAAAACAATTTCAATTAAGACATTTTATATACAGTTTATCTTAAGAAAATACAAAAACAAAACAAAAATAACAATAAAATAATATTAATGACTATAACAACAATAATAATACTAAGTTTTATAAATACAATATAATATATATATATTTATCTAAAAATTTCTATAATAAAGACATTATTTGTAATTATTATTTTATTCTTGTGTTTTATTGCTTTTTTCATATAATTAGTGACTGAGTGAGTGAGTGAGTGAGTGAGTGAGTGAGTGAGTGAGTGAGTGAGTGAGTGAGTGTGTGTGTGTGAGAGAGAGAGAGAGAAGTTTTTCAATATTATAATATAAGAAATTGTGTTAAAATAATTAGTAATCTCTCTCTCTCTCTCTCTCTCTCTCTCTCTCTCTCTCTCTCTCTCTCTCTCTCTCTCTTTAAATACAATATAAATATTTCTCATTTAATTTCTATTATATTTTAAATGGTATTATCTCTAAGATATAATACTTCACATTACATTATACAGTAGTACAAGTGGGTCGGGTATTAAAAATTAATTTATATAAAACTTAATTCCTTTCAATTACACAAWACACTTGAAATAGGATTAAATGAATACCCAATGTGTCTGTCATCAGCAAACTATTATAATACATAAAACTACTGGTGCTCTCCAACACATACTTTAAATAGTTTAATAATAATAATAATAATATTTTTATTTAAAATAACTAACAATTTTTTTTGTTTTTTTWWWATAATGAATTTCATTAGACAATTGACAATTTAATAGACAATTTTTTTTTAATAAATCAAAAATTTATAAATTCATAYGTAAATTAAAATATTATAAATATATATTTTTTTATAAAAAAAATTCACTGCAAAAAAAACTCACTAAAACAGAGAAAATTATGATTATTTATATTAATAGCTAATCCATTATAAATCTTACTTTATTTTTGTGGGTTAATCTCATAAAACACAGACAAACATACACACAGAATCCAAAAGCAAAAAAAAATAATTATAATTATTATTTTTTGTGTGTCTGTGTGTATGTTTAAAAATAATCTTTAAGTAAATATTTTTTTTAATTATGACTATTGATATATAATTTTTTTTTTCATATATATAAGTGTAAAATAATTAATTAAAATATTAGTTAAATAAATCKATCATGAATTTGTGTTTTTGACTGTTAATAACAATCAATCTAAATGTTGTTTTGAAATGAAAAAAAAATTATTTACTAATTTATTGAATATAWATWWTGTTTAGAAATAATTAAAATATATAATTTGTATAATTTTATTTAATAGAAATTAATGATATTTAATAGAAATTTAATATTATATTTTCTATGAAATTACATTATATAATTTATACATATTATAATATATCATCAATTAKTTAGTTAAACGAAAATAAAATATCTKTAATTTGATAAATACATGTAATTATATTATATACASAGTATTTTCTTATTATGTGTTATTTAATCAATCATCAAAAAAATAATAATTTCAATACTTTTAAATATTGATATATTAAAAAGCAAATAACAAATATTTAGCAAACAATTTTTGTTTGTTTGTTGAATGAATAATTATTGTATAATCTATATTTTTAATATAAAAATAAATACATAAAAATATATCATTATCATCATCAAACAACAATATATCACTGGATATAATTAATACACTTCAAAACACACACACACACACTGACAGCAAGTTTTAAATTATTATCAATTATTTTTATTAAACAAAAAAAATATTATTAATTATTAWWWAWTTTTAAAAAACAGTTTAATTAATTAATTAATTATTACTATATTATTTTATTAGTTTTATTATTATATTTTATAGTAAAYATTATCTTTTTGTTTTTAAAAAAAATAATGTTTTCACCTATTATAAGATAAATAACATTTTTTTGAAAACAAAATATAACTTAAATTTTGCGTTACGAAAAACGCCAAATGTTTTTTTTGTTTCATTAGTTTTATTATTTTATTTAATAATAGTGTTTAAATTATTTCAAAAAAATAATAATATTTTTTAACAATAATAAAGTTTATTATTTTTTGTAGTAAACTATATTTATTTTATATTAGTTTTCATTTTCAATCACTCACTTATATATACAATATATATATATATATATATATATATATATATATATATTATATACAGTGTGTCTATTAATAAATAATTGTTTTTAGGGCTGAACTCCATAAAGTAATATATCATTTCTACTGTATATTACTATTAATATACTGTATATCTACAATATACCCCCCAATATATCTATTAGCTATCATTGTACTATATATCATAGGCTATCAATAATTTATTGTTATAAGTTATCAATTATTACAGTATTATTACTATTATTTTCTTATAAAATATTAAATACTATTACACACACACACACCAAATGTATAACACGTTTACAATTTTCAAATATTGTTTTTTTGTTTGTTATTAGTTAGCAATTAATAATAAATTTTTATGTTTTTTATTGTTGGTTTGTTTATCAATTTTGTCAATTTTTTTCTCAGAAACTATGGGATGCGTTACGGTTTGGCCTAAAGCAAGCACTGGGAGATCAGTTCAATCGCGAGATGTCCGACGCATGGTTTGCCGTATTTAAGTTCATATCGCGACAAATTATTACAGGTATTTAGAAAAATAAATGATTAAATTAAAATTTTAAAATTTATATTTTGTTTAGTATTTATATTAAGCAAATACTAAATACTAAATTATAATTAATAATTTTTTTTGTTGAGATAAATAAAAATATAATTTTTATAAAAAATGTTAATATATTTTGTTATTTTATAATTAATAATAATAATAATAATTTTTGTTATAATTTAATTTTACAGGTATGAGACAACAGAGATCAATATCCAATCATATTTGATTGATAGACAAATTTTTTGTATTAATTAAATATTAATTTTTATTTATTATTATAATTATTAATTGTTAAACACACACAAAAATACATACAAATCATATAATAATAAAATATATTTTTGAATTTGTCAATTATGTTTTTATAAAAAAATACATATAAATTTCATATTATTAAATAGATATAATTACTAGTATATTATATATATATATAGTTATTATAATTTAAATATAATAATAATTATTATTGTTATAGATTATGTAACTGTTTTATTTGCATGCTAAATTATGTATTAAACTTATGTATAAATATATTTTTAGATAGTATCTTGATGTTTTATCTTATAATTTTAATTTCTATAAAAATTTCTATATATTTTTATTATTTATAAAATTTTCTATTTATCATATAATTTCAATTATGATATAAAAATTACATAACATATGTATTCGTAATATTTATAAACTATATTTGTATTTATAAATTTGACAACAACAATGTTACCATTAAAAAAACAATGTAATTTTGATAAAATATAATATACAGTATATAAAAAGATATACTACTGTATATATAATAATCAATCTCATATATATTTATATATACAGTATTATATTATATAAATACTGTAATTTCTAAAAATAAAATTTATTACAATAAAAATAATACATATTGTGTTTACGCTATCATAACTATAAAGTGAAAATGTTTTGATTTTGAAAAATATTTATTTAGACAATAACTTGTTATATTGTAATATATATATATATATTATTTTATTTTATATAATTGAAGTGATATAATAATAAAATAATTGTTTTTCACTTCTAAAAAAACATTATAATTTATATTTATCATTATTTCTCGGTATATTATATATATATATATATAATTTTATTGTCAAATAAATTTATTTCTGTTTCATTTAATTTTTATATAATTACAAAATAGATATATTATGTAAGTTAAAAAATTTAAAGTGTATTAATTTCAAACAAAAAAATTTGTGAAATATTATTTTTAACAAACAAAAAAATATTAATTATAATTTATACAATTATTTCCCACATAAAAAATTGTGTATAATAATTTGTTAAATTAAATTAATTTTGAGATTAAATTTTTTAAAAAAATTTGTAATTGTGTGTTACAATATTGGAAATAAACAAAATTATTTTATATACTTAAAAATATCTAATTATTTTTTTTAAAAAAAACTTTATTTATTATAACAAAATTTTTAGGGAGTAATCATAATAATACTAATAATAATAAATCGTAAATTATAAAATAAACCAACTGTTATATAAAACTATTAAATAAGTTATTTTAATTTTAAAAAATTAATTTAATAATAATCTGTCAATCAATACCGTTATTATTATTAATATAATTATAGTATTTGCTATACTTTTTCGGACACTGAAACCTTGAAGATACCTGTCCTCCTCTAGTGGACACCAATTTGGTGGCCACCCATTTCTGGCCTAACAAAACAGGACACTGGCCGTGAACTGTTTTCGGGTCGTCGGCGTTATTCTGTAGCAGACTGTACCAGACCAGTGCCGATCCCGGTGCCGGATGTACTGTTACGTTAAGCGCTGGAAATACTATATCACCTCCCAGTTCAACATCGCTAAGCCATGTTAGCCATGTCAGCAAATTTTTCGATGTCCAATGATGATGATGATGTAGGTCACTGTCGTGATGTTGACGATAATAACCACCGGCGCCATACCTGATCACATCGATTGGCTCGCCAGACGATACACCGACACCCGTAATGGTGGCCAGTCGTCKAGATAWYTGACCGAACACTGGATGATCAGTGTCGATGTGCGTCGATCTCAGTGTCCAGCGATGTACTGCWGCGTCGGGTTTGTCGGCGACGGTTGACGACTGCCGGTCCAGCTCTTGACGGGCAATACTTTTRACAGTTTCCGACTCCGTTGGCGAAAGAAATCCGTGRATTAGCCAAATGTATGGCTTTTTATGTATGACTTCCACTTTGACACGTGTCAGCCGCAGTGATGGTATGACAGCTGTGTTCAGATGATAGCATCGCAATCGGGAACTGTATTTCTGGGACAGATATCTTTCTTCGCGACACAACTGTTCAAAYGCTTCGTTATCTGTCGGCGATTGTTCGCTAATTGTTTGGTCATTGATTGGCGGTTTGTCGGTTGTCATCATTGTCTGAGATAATTGATTTTTTTTAAAAGAGGACAAGTAGTTTAAGCAATAATAGCAAACACACATCCAATAGTCATCAAACAAAACTATAGTCACCAACCTTTTGATAGTCAACTGCTATATTGTCAACAGTTTTTTGGGGAATCAGTTTCGTCACTAATCTCATCAATGGTGTCATCAAAGAGTTGCTATTGATTTCGCGTTTATGATAAACATACGAAACAAACGACACGATTTCACTTATCTGTTGGTCATTGATATCGATATATTGGTTATAGTTTTTCGGATCGTCCAGCCGTTTGATGGCCTCAGTGCACCATTCGATCGAGTGCTGATAGTCGCCGGCCCGAAATGTCCGACTGGCCATCAGATAGCAGTCGTAGGCGTCCATCTCGAGGGCCGAGTCCGAGTGGCGCCAAACACTGTCGTCCAGCGATCGGCTTTTGTAGTCGAGAACACCGTTTGCCAACACTTTTGTCTGCAATTTATAATAGTATTGAAGTCGACCGATACCGTCGGCGGCCTCTGGATTAGTGTCCAAACAAACAAAACAAACAAATAGATTATCATTTTTATCATTGATTTCTGAATTAATACCATTTAAGTGTTGGTCAGTGATTACAGTCATATCTCTGGATAATACTTTGTCGTATAACTGTATGGATGTCYTGCTTAGGACCAGTTGGTCAATATGTGGCCACTCGACGGCCATCCGTTTGACTGACGCGTACACATCCAGCGGATGTCCCAAATAGGACTCCTTATCTATCAATCCGTTTTCATTCAATATTGTCAATCGTTGCCACAAATCCCGTAACTGTTGAATACGGTATTCCTCTGCCGACAAATAGTCGTCCAGTGCTGACAGCCATTGCTGTTCAGAGTCTAACAGCCGCTCTAAACGGCCGACAGTGTCGGCACTAAAACACCTGACAAATGGTATATTAGTWGTTAGCAWACAATATAATAATATTATTAACAATAAGTTGGCCATAATTTTTTAGGACATGTATTTTGATTTTATATATATATATATATATATATATAAAGTTTTAATATAATTTTAATAAAATTTGAACAAAAAAATTATTTATATTTGTATCTACAAAACAACGTGTATTTAAAAAAATAAATAAAACATTTTTTTTAATTAATAATATATAATGTATATAATGTAAGTTATAAATGATAAATGATATGTTAATATTAGAATATTATTAATATTACAAAAAATTTTTTGCTTAATTAAAAATAAAAATATGATATGCTCTATATTTATTTGTAAAATTAATTTGAGTAATAATAAAATTAATATAGAAATTAATAAAACTTATATAAAATATAAAACAATTATTATTATTTTTTTGTTAATACTGCAAAAAAAATTATCAAGTTAGACTATAGCTAAATTTTTTGGCAAAAAATGCATTTTATTAAAATATAATTTAATTAATTAATTAATTGAATAGTTAGTTGTTTTATTTGACTGTATATTGATTGGATTCTGGCCAATATCTAATTGAATAAGTAATAGTGAATATGATATGGATACACCAATAACCTAAATAGGTAGCAACAAAAATAATTTATATAATAATATTAGATTATTATTTAGTTAGTAGTATTATTATTATTATCATAAATAAAATTAATTATTAATTACCGATAAAAACAGCGACTTATTAATGTTGAAAAAGTTGGACGCATTAAATGTTTGCTGATTTTGCTGTATACTCATTATAGCATTTATCTATCATAAGTTTTATATTATATACTATTAGTTATTTTTTATCAAATAATATATTAGTAGAATAATATATATTACTAAATAATACTAAAATTATATAATAAACTATTTTTTAAAAAATACTATATAATTTATATTATAATATTGACTATACAATAATTGTATACAACAAAAATCAAAATATAATGTATTATTATTATTAATAATAATTTTTATTGTATATAAAAATATTTATCAATTACTTTGAGTCTATCGTCTAAATTTTTCGGTACAATTGTCGATATTATCCTAAATGTTTCGGTATTCTATGGGTAATACACACACAAAAATTAATTAATTATTTATTTTTTATTTTGTAAATATATATATAGTTTATTAAATATATATTAACTAACCATTTCATTCATAATATCGACGGACAGACACCAGGAAAACATACGTACAATAACTACCGTAAGGTTAGACCAAATCAATTGTAGCGAAACTTTTGAATTGTAAGTCCAAAGACTTTTTAGTAAAAATGTAAACCAAATGATGAAGAATATGTTGAAACAGAAGATCAATAGTAGACATGGATTAAGCAATCGATTGGCTTCTTTGATCAGTGACTGGAGTTTTGCCGTACGGCTAAATAGTTGATCAAATGGTGGCCAGTGGTGGTCGTCGTTGTCGTCGTTGACAATAAGGACATTGCGATTGTTGGTGTTGTTGGTGGTAGTGGTGGTAGTGGTGGTGGTAATGACAATGGACTTCAACAACGATTTGTTCATTTTGTCAATAATACAGATGAAATATACGGCAAAATAGATCAATAGGAAACCGTTGGTCTCGCTGATGGCCATAGCGCACAGTGAAGCCCATTCGCTGACCAGTAGCCACCAGGACAGTTGGGTTTTAATGTTAAATATCATATTTTTGATGGCAAACACTGCCGCCAATAGCAGCAAAAGTCCGAACTGTAGAGACCTGAGTTTCAGGACATCCGTCCGATCGATATCGTATCCGTTTAGCTGATCTACCAGTGCCTGTAGTTGGCGACCTCTACAAGTGTACAGTAGGGCCGCATAGACATCGTAGATGGACATAAATATTAGGGTAGCGAAAAATATTTGATAGGTATAGATACTTTGAAAGTCATTGGGTGTGACATAACAGTCCACCAAACAGGGTATGTGTGTGGCAATTATGAGTATCCACATACATATTGCGTATACTGTCCATAGTATACCTGTCCATTGCTGGTAGTGGTGTCCGTATCCGACAAACGCTATACCGGCCACACGGGTATAGCCAATCCAGTAGTCAAACCAAGTGTTATCCGTTTTGTTAATTGATTTTATAGTATTATTATTATTACTATTACTATTATTATCAATATTATTAGTATTACTATTATTTATACGATTGTTTGGCATATTATTTAGTAATTTGTTTTTAACAAATATTTATATCAAAGTAACATATATTAATTTAGTTATATTATTAATTATAATATTATTTTAATTTAGATTTAATAATTTATAATAAAAAATATATTTTTTTTATTTTAATAATTGTATAATATGTAGTGTTGTGGTTAGCAATTGATAACTGATTATATAAAATTAATAATATTGATAATATAAGAAATATATAATTATTATATTATAATATATTTAATGTTTACTAAATATGAACAAAATTAAGAGCTTTTTATTATTGATTGACTAATAAACTAAAATAATAATATATTTTAATAATAATAATTTTTTTTTCTTATTTACATTAGTTTATTATTTGGATTGACTAGTTTTACTGGTCTAGTAATGTAAACATTAATACAATTATTTAGCATAAAATAAATTGCAATATTAATTAATTGCATAATTGTGTAAATATCAAGTGTTTAGGCAAACAATTATTTTATTATACTGTACTTTATAAATACAATTTAATAAATAAACTTTATTTATTAGAAAATTTATTTAAAATTTACAATATATGATACATTTATATATTTTTTGTAAAAATCTGTAAAACATAAATTATATACTAATTTTAAAATAATTATTTTACATTTGTTTAAATTGATTTTTATAGGATATATTAGTTAGTTTTATTTTAAATGTATATATATTTGTATTCATATTTGTTTTATATTATAAATGTTATCTAATAATCTGCTTATATTGTTATTATTATACAAAAATTGCATAAATTTTTGACAAATTATTTATTAATAGCTATAAATATATAATACAATATAATAATTATATAAAGACAAATGCAGTATTAATTATTAAACATTAAGTTTTATGAATTATTAATAGTTAATATTGTTATTAAATTTTCAAGTATTAGTCCAATGAATACAATGAATATTACAGTAGTTATCTATTTATTAATATTTATTAACTTTTCTTTTTTTAAAAAACAAAATCTGATTAAATGACTGTTGAATTTGTGTGTTAAATACAGTACTACTACTATTACTACTACTATATTAGTGCCGATCGATTGTACAGTTTTTATATACAGTAGAGATAAAGTAGAGTTACTTTTGGTTCCCTTGAAATTGTGATCCTTGAAAATTGGTTGACTGTCTGGGCTGACCACCCGGTTGTACAAATACTACTGATTCTTTGCTATTGGTTCTCTTGATGGCCGTATTGGTGGTAGTGTTTGGCTTCTGTACTTGATTTGTATTAATCAGATTTGGTTCAAATTTGACGATCAGAAACGTCATGTTGTCTTTACCAGCGATTCCATGGATAGGCATAGCTGTTGTCGGCAATATCTGTTTGAATACTTCTTCGCATATTTTTGACAATCGTTTGACTCTTGGTATTCGTTTGTTGACATAACCAATAAGTTCTTCATTGGCCACACTATTCCAGATGCCATCGCATATAAGTACCATTAGATTGTCATTGGATGTCAACTGTTCTGTCTTGATGTCGGGTAAAGCAATGATCATCTGTTCCTTCTTTGATAGTTCAGTGTTATGTTTGTAGTGATGGTCACCAAAAGCGCGCGAAACGTTTACACCGCCATTAATGCGACCGCAAATCACTTGTCCGCCGGCGTTCTCGATGCGATTTTTTTCGTCAGTATTTTCCGGTTTGTGGTCACTGGACAGTGGATATGATCTGCCATTTCGTGATAGTATACACCGAGAATCGCCTAAATTGGCCGCATATGCGATGCCATCTTTAATTAGTACAACAATAGCCGTACAACCACTGGCCACTGCCGGTGCATTTTTTCGGTCGATGGGCACCTGTGAGTACTGTTTTCTCATTTTAATCAATTGATTCATAGTATCGTCCTGAAGAAGTTGGTCATCAAATTGCTGGAATGCTTCCTGAAGTGCCGATTCGTATTTGCCTTCTTTGTAGTTCTTATTCTTTAACAACATATTTGGTAAGAGTTTTGACGCCAATTGTGCCACTTCTGCGCCATTATGTCCGTCGAAAACAGCCCACAGACTGGCGTTTTTGTCAAACTTTGGCAAACATATGTGTGCGTCCTCTTGAGTGGATCGCCAGCCCTGTACTGATGACGCGCCGTACGATATGTTGGGTCCCTTTCCATCTTCAGATTCAGGCCTTGATATACATTGTTTGAGATATGTTTCGCCCATTGCTTTGGTTTGACCACTAATTTTGGTTTAAATGACAATCTCTTAGTAAAGTATTTTTTCCAGTTATTAGTTGGTCTTTAATACGATTATCTCTTTTGACTATAATTTTTGAATATAAATTTGAATTATTTGTTAGACTATTAATTGTTGTCACGATTTTAAAACAAAGTTTTTAAGATTAAAATTACGCGAATTTTAATTAAAATTTATTTTTATTTTCACGAGATTTTCAAATTTAAATTTAAATTCACAACGAATTTAATCAAATCTATGATAATTAACGGTTTTTTTCATAAGAAATTAACGGTTAAACCTCTTGAGTTACCACTTCTTAAGATAATTTGAGACAAAATTTACTAAAAAATATTTTGTTTTAACATTTGGTAACGAAATTAAATAAAAAATTGAATTTAATTTTTTATAGCATTTTATTTGAAATATAAATAATAGAAAAAATTTTGACAAAAATCTATTTCATTGAATCTTTGAATTGAAATCTGAGACACACTTCGTCTTCTTCTTCTCTCTTCATTCACTGTCTTCGCTGTGTTTTCGGCTTCTTCTTCGTCTGCGACGGTGACCACCCTTTCGGCCACCAGATCGCGATCGGCCTCTTTTGGATCGGGAACGCCTTCTGCGTCTTCCGCCTCCCGAATGCCTTCTGCGACGTCTGGTCTCGACTACCTCTCCTCCTGAGCCTCCAGACGGAAGTGTCTTCTTCTCTTCAGACTCGACATCGATAGCAATGGTTTTCATATTTTATTTTCAGTTGATTTGAGAATTTTGTTAATAAGAAATAAAACAAAAAAAAAATGATTTTCAATTCAACTGAAACTTTTGCTTTTTATACGAAACACAACAATAGTATCGATGTCTCGCATATCTCTCTCTCTCTCTTTCTCTCGAAAAAACATTTGTTGTATTAATTAAAAAAATAAAATAATTATAATTGTATTGTTGCGCGAAATTTTTAGTAATAAAATTTTGAATAACTCGTACCAAATATTCATCAATTGATTGATAAGTTGTGTATCTTTGTCTGTGTGTGTTTGATATCAGATCCATTGATACCAGTGATGTCAAAGGGCAACAGTCCCAGCAATGAAAGCCTGAACGCCGAGTCATCAAATCCGACGCCAATGTCGGAGTCGACTAAAAAATTGTTTGCAAAGTTTGACGTCAATATCGGTAAAGTCATCCGTAAGGGACAGTACGGCGCTATATATGAGGGAGAGTTTGGCTCAAAGTTTGACTACAAAGTGTTTAACACTAAGTTTGAGTGCAATGTCTGTCAGATGAAAAACCCGCCGAATAAAAGCCAAAGATTTGCCATCAAATATGTTGACATTGTTTTGCGTAAGAAATTACAGGTAACAGACGTCATGGACGCCGTCGACAGAGACATAAACGCATTGATGGCTATCGATCACAAAGGAGTGGTCAAACTGTACTTTGCCATTGCAATGGACAACAAGAATCTGTGGCTTCTATTTATGCAACTCTCCGACGGAAATCTTCAGACGTTTATGAAAAGAAAACGAAAACTAAAGGAAATGATCGACGAATTAGTGACCAAACAGTGGTTCAAAAGTCTTTCAGAAACACTGGACTATTTGCAGAGGAAGCGCATCAGTCACGGACACATCAAGGCTTCAAATGTACTGATATTTGGCAAACAAGACGACAAAATTCAACTCAAACTCACAGACTTTGTGTTCGCAAAAATCGAAAGACTGGGCGAACTCAGCGAAGAACTCAAACAAATACTAAACGATCGGTTGGACGACGACATCATCGATATGTCGTTTCTGTTCAATGATTTGCTGTCTATCACCCAATTTGCCAAACAAGACACACAACGATTGGCCAATGAAACCGTTCACCAGATGATGGTTGCATCGGATGCACCACAAGAAGTGTTGAAAAAATTTATGTCATCTGATTATCTCAAATAAAAAAAAATTCAATAAATATTTGTTTGCAAACTAATTATTAAACTGTTTATTAACAAAAAAAAAATAAATTAAATTAAAACAATTTAGTCATAAAAATTATTAGTTTAACTAAATATAATTAATAATTAGTAATAAATTAATTACTAAATAAATAAATGATTGAATAATAATTACAATTATTATTTGCAAACTATTTGTTTAACACAAAATTTTCCAGTTATCGATTCATTAATAAATTTTATTTAAAAACCTTATTTGCATTATTTAGATAAAATAATTAAACTTTTTATTTATAGTATTTTTAATATACAATATTATTGTAGTTATTAAATACAGTATAAAAATGAATGAATAAATAAATATATATTCTCTAAGTTATGAAAATAACACAAAAATAGTTACTCCCTCTCTCTCTCTCTCTCTCTCTCTCTCTCTCTCTCTCTCTCTCTCTCTCTCTCTCTCTCTCTCTCTCTCTCTCTCTCTCTCTCTCTCTCTCTCTCTCTCTTTCTAGAAATATATATATATATATATATTAATATTCATTATTTTAATAAATTTTAGTAATAAATTTTAGTAGTATCTTAAATAAAATTAACTAAAAATTATTAATTGTTTGTTAACCAATAAAATAAATTTAAAAAAAACATTTTAGTTACAAAATTATTAGTTTAAGGATAAATATAAAATAATAAGTTTTAATTGCATGGATGTATTTCTTGCTATTATTATTATTAATTTTAATAAAAATTTTTAACTAACTACTACTACAGTACTACTAAATAGTAGAAATTACAACAAATATTATTAAACAACAAAAATATTGTAACAAATTTTTTTTGTCATAAATAAATAAATAATTTTTTTTGACTACTTTTTTAATTATATTGCAAAAAATCAATGCATATTAAATTTGTTTATTAAATCAAATAAATTAATAAATAAATCAATTAAATTATTCATTTATTTTGTGACAATAGTTACAAATTATTATTATATTAAAATAAAAACTTTATATATGATATTAAATAATTTATATTTAAATATTCACCAAAAAAAATAGCAGTGAAATAGCAGTACAGTTAATACCAACAACAAAACAAAACATAGTTTATGTTATGCATTGTGTTTACACTACACTATAATATTAATACATAGACATACATAACGAGTAATACATATCAAACTGTATTATACAATAGTAGGCATTCATAGCATTCAATTCAATCATTCATAAAAAAAAAATAAAACATTCAATCATTACATTAGAGTCTATTGTGTTGTCAACTAATCAATTGATTAGTTAGTATTAAACAGTATATGATATAAGATATACAGTGATTGTAATCAATCAATCACTACTACTCCAACACATAGTATCGGGTGTCCACTATAGTGGCCACACACACACAAAACAGGCGTTAATGACCGCTACCGTGGCTACAGTCGTGGCTGGCCAGCAATCATCAACATCGACGTCGTCATCGTCATCATCATCATCATCGGTGGTCAATAACAACATCAACAACGATATGCTATCGGAGTTGAGACTAGAAAACAGCCGTCTGTACGATGACCTATGTCTGGAGCAACAACTGAATCAACTATTGGACGCCATTCGTAACTATTCGCTAATATTGATCAACAGCTGCCACTGTAATCCCAATCAAGAAATCTGGGAAAAGTTGAACCAATTGAACAACGAATATAAGTGTCTGAGGACACGAAAACTTGCCGACGATGGCGGCGGCGGCAGTGACCAACACAGCGGCGGTGGAGGAGGAGGAGGAGGAGGATCTGATCATACATTCGGTGGTAAGATATGATTAGATGAGTGTATTTTTGTGACATTTTAATAACCAATTTATAACCAGATATATTGTGTAACACGAGTGGTGGTGGCGGCGGCGGCAAACAACCGCACAACACCACAGTTGGTCTTATGGCCACCGATCCGGTCACCCGACAGACGACAACGGCGGCGGCGGCATCAATGGTAACCTGTGTGGACTGTCAGCAACAGTTCGATTCGGTGGTCGATCTGGACGTTCACCGCACAGCTGTCCACAAGACAAGTGTTCATCAGCCGTGTGTCTGCCAGGAGTGTCATCAGATGCTGGACAGCGAAGAACTATTATCCATACATTTGATTCAGAATCACTTTGTCTGCGACATCAAAACCGAAGACTCTAACGAAGACAAATCCGAGACACTGTACGCTAATAGTGCAACAGTGGCCGTCATCGATGCCTATCATAATCAACATCATCATCATAATCATCACCACCACCAACAACAACAACACCACCAGAATATGCCATTCCCGGCGCACACTACAGGTGTCGGGGCCGGCGGTAGCAGTGGTTACGATCCGACCAGCGGTGAACGTATACCAGAAAATCGTAGCGCATTTCTTAGTCAATTGAATCTTGTGTCGAGTCTCGACCAAAACAACAGGAATAGTTGCGGCGAAAATTATGGTATGAATGGTTTAATAAAAAATATAAATGATTTAAATTATCCTCTCATTTGATTTGGGATCAGGTATGCGTCGGCTAAGAGATAGGCCACCAAAGAAGGTAGCCATACGTAGGTCAAGCAATACTACGACAACCCGAAGATTGATAAATGTCGGCACAAATAATGGTTTGTTTGGCGGCGACAACAATCGTGACATTATTCCTGAGTTCAAATGCGACGAATGTGTACCGAATCAATGGTTTAATCACGAAAGGGAACTGGAGAAGCATATGAACAAACAGCACAAAAAGTTGAAACCGTTTGCCTGTAATGTCTGTACCGATACGTTCTTTGCCCGACTGTCCCTACTCTATCATATGTCCCAAAAACATAAGATACTGGCCTTCGAGTGCCAGTATTGCGATTACAAAACCCGTACCAAACATCATCTGACTCAGCATATGGTTCGCCATTCGGATGTCCGGCCGTACGAGTGTAGTGTCAAAGGTTGCGAACTCAAGTTCAAACGCAAAGATATGCTTACCAGACACGAGGCCTGCCATAAAAAGCGAGGACGAAGTAGACCGTCGAAGAATCGAAACAACAACAACAACAATGCCGCCGACGGACTACTTGTTGGCCATTCATCTCATCAAAGAATCGACATAATTGTCTAGAAAATAGTCTATAAAATTACCGGTAATATCGTTGTTGTTGTTGGAACTATTAGAGATACCTATCGGTAACTGGCCGTTATTTTCCGACTTACCGGTATAAACAATAGTTTACCTCATTATATAAACACAAAATATTAATTAATTAAAATTATTAACTATTTATATATTTAATTGTTATTATTATTATTATTATTGTTTCCTGTATTAACCCAATTAATAACTATTAAATGTTTATGCTTAGTATATAATCTGTATTATTAACAAAAAAAACATTATATATACGGTTATTATTATTTACGGTATTATTATTATTATTAACAAATTGTTAAAAAAAAAATCTGTCAATAATAGATTCAATATTATAATAATAATTTATATATCAATTAAATGACTTGTTATACAGTATACAGTATATATAACACTATATTACCACTCACTATAAGTTTATAAATTGTAAAATATTAATATTCATTAATAAATTCATTAATTAACTAATTGATTATTTCTCTATGCAATATATTACATCTATTGAATTATTATATCTAAAATAATTATTATTTTAATTTTTTTTTTAAATAAGAGAAATAAAATATATGTTTAATACCTGTAGTCATGTACCGTAGTATCAATTATTTAAATTATCAGTAATTATTAATACACTAACTAACAAAGTTATAATATTTAGTTTAAAAAAACAATTTTAATTACCTGCAGATAAATATTTTTTAAAAATAATTATTTGTTTTTAAATGTAAATATCTTATAATTATCGATTCCTGTAATAAAATATAATTTTAGGATAAAATTTTCAAAAATAATCATACAAAGTTAATTCAAATAAAATTATCAATTTATTATTTATAAATTATTAAAATTTATTTCAGACATTTTATCCAAAAAAAAATTTCAATTACCGGTTTATTTTAATGAGTATCACAAATAAAAAATCAATTGTACCGTAAGTATAACATAGAGTATATCTTATATAAATGACTTATAAATCAATGACTAGACGTTACATTAAAATAAATAAATAAAACATTAAATAAATTAATTAAACAATTATCCCATATTACATAAATATAGGATATTAAATAAATTAAAAAATCACAAATATAACATAAAATAATTACCGTATATTAATTATTATATAATTACCGGTAAGTTATGAGATGCTAATTATGTTACCGTAAATATAATGCAAAAGAGTATTACAACAAAATTGTTTTATACTGTATTATACTGATAATTATATTACCAAATAATGTACAATAAAGATAGTGGTATAGAAATTGTCAATTCAATCAAATTGAATATTACCGGTAAAATCTATAGAGACCCAGAGAGTACTATAAAATTTTTAGTAACTACCGGTGCTTAGATGTGTATGACTAGGTTTTGAGGTGTGTGTGTGTGTATTGTATGTGCTAACCGTCGTAGGGATAGCCGAGATAAACCATTGATACTTCGGTATTGCCGTAGACAGCACTTACCGACGGATAGAGCGGTTTGTTGGGCAGTCCGCGAAAGGCGACACCAAGAAACTCGTAGTTGCGTTCAAAAGACAGTGTCGAATCGTCGCAGTCGAGTATCACCCGAAGTCGTTCGCCAGTTTGATATTTGGGCGCATTGTTCAGCAACGGATAGTTGCCGTGACAGTCGCCGTTGTGTATGAGATTGTTGTCGACAAGATTCCAGCCCCAACTGTCCGCATTGGAGCCCAACAGTGCCACATAGCCGGCACTCTGGACGGGAGCGTCTTTGGTGGCAATGCCTACGACGGCCACTGTCTGTATTCGCGGAGAAAATTAAACGGTTGACTATTGATTCGGGAGTAGTGGGGGGGGGAAAGTAAATGTTTAAGTATACGATACATACCCCGAGCGGTCCCTCCCACCAGACCTCCCAACTGTGTCGGCCAACCAGAAAACCGGCTTTGCCTTTGGCCGCATCGGTACCTATAAGACAACAACAACAACAACAAAAATCAATAAATACATAATTGTCACTACAATTTGATGACCACAACACCTAAACAACTACAGTAGTGGACAATACATACTCTGGGCGACAGGATTTCGGTGAAGTGTAAAACCGTTTGGTTTGATATAGACATTACGCGAACAGTCGTTTGAATCCCAGGCATAGAAATAGGCCCGCAGTTTGGCCTTATATGATGACAGCGATGATAAAACATCGCTTTTCAGTATCTGTTTGGATAGTTTGTTCAGACAGTGAACCCGCCAGACATCCGACCGATCGTCACGTATGGTTTGATACCATTTACGGCAGACCAACATACAGGACAATAGATCCCGTTGGGGAACGTGCGAGAAGATCAACTCGTAGACATTGCCGGGCAAATAATCCCAGCGGACAGCGGTAACGGTTGCGGCAGAGGTTACCGATGACTGTGTTGACGGTGACGGCGATACAGTCGACGTAGTAGTAGTGGTCAGTGTGGCAACCGATGGCGCCGATGCGGTTACCGGCGATACACAGCTGTCGATGGCGTACAGAGTCATCATCATTAGCGGCGGCGKCGGCGGTGACCAACAACTTCGGTAAAATCGGTAAACATCTCGTGCGGGTCGCGGGTCTATCTGTGACCAGTCATTACATTGTTATTATGTGTTTCATTCAGTCAATCAATGAAAACAAATGTTTTTTGTTTTTGTTTGTAAATCCAATACAAACAATACTATCGAATAAATAATAGATTTTTATTTTAAAAATAAATAAATATTAAAAACAATAATAACAACAAAAATAGCAGTTATTATCAATACTGTACTGTAATAATCAATAAAAACAATCAATATATTACGTCAAGTATAATATTATCCCCCATTTTTTATAGATATTACTAATAAACTGTATAATACTTTATATATAATATATATGAAATGCAATGAAAATTCAAACGTAATTTATGGACCAAAAAAATACTATTATAACCGATAAAAAAGTCATATCATATGGCATTTAAAAGACAACTAAATAAAACATTTCTAATGTAATGTTAATACAGTATTACAACAAATTGTATTATATATGATAGTAATAAACAGTACATTAAAAATCAATGCAACAATAAATGCATTACAATGTGTTGTTAAATAAATTTTTTTCAAAAAAAATGATAATTAGTATTAAATAATAAATTAAATAATAATTATTATTACATATATATGTGTGGTTAGGTGTGTCCATRAAATAAATTAGTGATTAACTAACTAAACATTAACTATATATTAATATACATATCTGTATAACACGTGTGTGTGTGTGTATACAGTATAGCATCGGAAACAAACCAAACACCGACAGCAAAATACTGTATTAAAAAAAAAATGGTAATAAAATTTTTGCTAACATTCGGCGCCGGTATCTATACAGGTGTATACCTGAGCCAGAACTATGATGTACCAAATGTTTGGGAACCCCGGGAACTGTTTGATCGGACAAAAGGTTTTCTTAACCGAAATGAACGACAAGTATCGCAAAACTGATACTACAGACAGTAGTAGTAGTAGTAATAATAAAACGGACAAATAGTTTTGGTCGGCAGTGGGGGTGTGGGGAGGGGGTAGTCGTGTTTCCGATAATGACTGTCCTTACGCCCTTTCCCCCCCCCTCCCGTGTGGACGGATTTTGTGTTCTTGTTTGTGGAAAACCAAATATGATATTTTATTTTTTTTTGATGATATTATTAATTATTTAATTAAAATACTGTAATACAAACAAACTTCAAACTAAATTTTAGTTTTTTTTAATTATTGTAAATTATATGATAATGATAATAATAATATTTTTTTAGTAATTTATACTAGTATAATTTTAAATACCATATTATTATTTCTAATTTATAGTAAATACTGTAAAAAAAATTTTAGATAATCTAGTACTTTTTTTAAAAAAAAATAAATAAATTTAATGTAAAAATTTAGGGTAATTACTTAAATGTAAAGTATATTTATGAAATAATATTGTAATAAATTATATATCACACAATATGTATTAGTCAAGTATACCTAATAAAAATTGATAAATTTTATGTATATATATATATATAATATTAATATAGATAATAATTAAATTCAGTTTATAATCTAAGTTAAATAAAAAATTATAAATTTATTAATAAAATATTATTAGTAATAATAATTTATTATTAATAAAATATTATTAGTAATAATAATTTATTACTATTAATTTGTTTCAAAGTTTATGTTTTGTTTTTTCAATAAACTTATTATTATCGTAATATTTATAATTTAAACTTATTATTATTATTGTAGGCTAATCCGGAGTTTACGCACATTAAAAAAAATTGATTTTTTTCAACAGATAATAGTTAATTATGACCTAAAAAACATATATCCATCAAAATTATTAAACCTAAAACCTAATAAAACCTAACCTAAATAAGCTCTCATAACATAATTCTACACTAATTATAAATAAATTAATATTAAACAAACATAAAGCGCGTGAACAAAATTAACATTTATAATATTGCTAATAAAATAGTATTGTTGTAATTTCTTTATAATACTTTTAAAAACAACTAGTTGTCCACGCGGAACATATAACCATCTAATTTTATAGAATTTATAAATTAATTGAACCACAATAATAATGATTTTTAAACATAAATCCAATATATGAATGTTATTTAACGTGACAAACACTGATTAATAACCCCAGTACTATATAGATTAGGTTAGGTTACCATTGAAAATTATGTTATAGCGGTTATATATATATATAAGGTTAGGTAACGGACAAACACTATTCCGTAACCCAAGTACTGTATAAATTAGGTTAGGTTACCATTGAAAATTAGGTTAGGTTGCGGTTCGAACACCAGGTTAGGTAACGGACAAACACTGATTCTGTAACCCAAGTACTGTATAAATTAGGATAGGTTAATTGAAAATTAGGTTATTATTTCGTAACCCAAGTACTGTATAAATTAAGGTTACCATTGAAAATTAGGTTAGGTTTCGAACACCAGGTTTAACGCGAGAAACACTGATTCCGTATCCCCAGTACTATATAGATTAGGTTAGGTTACCATTAAATATTAGATTAAGTTGCGAAGACATTGACACTAATTCATATATACATACAAACATTTTAAAATTATATAGTCGTATAGATAATAATATAAAACTATTGTTTTATTATACAGTGATTGATAACAATATTCATGCGCTTTATGTTTTTTTAATATTAATTTATTTATAATTAGTATAGAATTATGTTATTCAGGTATTTAGGTTAGGTTTTAGTTAGGTTTTAGGTGTTTCCGCGCAATAATTTTGATGGATATATGTTTTTAAGATCATAATTAACTATTATCTGTTGAAAAAAATCAACATTTTTTAATGTGCGTAAACTCCGGATAGGCCTTATTGTATTTTATACGCGCGCGTGTGTGTTTGAATAAATATAAATTTATTTAAACATTTTTTTTAACAAACTAATTGATAATTACAGTAATAATTTTGCTAAATTTGAAATTGAAAACATATATATTATTTTATAACTACTATTTTGTATAAATTTTTTCTATACTATACTGTATGTATAATAAATAAAATAAAAAAAACATGAAATTTTCAATAGCAATTACAATACTGAACATTATAGCAGTTAGTTGTCTTAATGATAAGTAAGTTAAGTATTTTGTTAGCGGGGGTATTGACATACCTGTGCTTATTATCATTTTTTATTAATTAAATAATTAATAGCACCAAATGTCAGGATCCAGTGTCGACAGTACTGTTGTTCAACAGGACTACACTTTATACGGTCAACTATACAACGTTAACAATCAATAGGTTTGGCATCGGTAACGGTAGTAGTAGTAGTAGACATAATAATGATGTCCAATATGTGTCCCATCAGCCTCAGGGACAGATAATCACGGGTCTGAACAATGAAACCATTGTCCAGAGTTTGTCGACCAACGAGTTTGACAATTTGGTCGAAGTATTGTTTATCTATAAAAACACGGCTTACTATTGCGCCCGATATTCAATGGCCGACAGTAACCATAAATTTAACACTTCAACAAAAGCTAACCAATACTATACATTTATRGATCAATTTGACAATCAGGAGATCAAAACAATGGTCAGTTAGTTATTAACAGTGTATATTCATAACCATTTTTTATTAACTAATATATATATATATATTTAGAAAGTTGTGACTATCCGGTGCCCGAACCGACTCTATCCTTATTGGCTGGTGTTTACCGCCAATGCTAACAACAACCGCTACAAAGTYACCATATTTAGCAAAAACAATATCACCGGCAATCACGAGCCGACACAAGCAAAAGTGATGGCCGTATTTGTGGTCAACGTTGATAGCGATGCAGATATGTGTACTGTTTCAGTGTATTTAATTTATGACAATCACTTATCCGCCTTATATACCATTCATATACACGAAGATAAACAACAAAAATTGACTAATAAGCCACAGATAAGAGCTATTACCCGAAGTTCTTCATTTAGGGTTTGATAAAACAAAAACAATTTTTGAAATTTAGATTTTATTTGTTGAACTAAAAAAATAATAATATAATATTTTATCAATTTGTGTCCCATTTTTTTTTAATAAAAAAGTCAAACAGTATATGGAGTCTAGGCTTTCCTGAATGTCATTACGATATATGTTTGGACAATACATTCAAAGCCATTATCATTGACGACAACTATTTTCATATTTTCATTGGACAGACATGGCTTAGACAGAGCCGAATGGATGGCAAACTAGTGAGCGAACCATTGGCTAAACGAATCGATAGACTCAATACAGTATACGTTGATCCCAGAGATCGACAATTGTATGTCATTCAAGACACCAGTATMTTGAGATTCAATCAGAATTCTATGGACACAACTGATAACAATCAAAACAAAGATATTGGTTCAGTGTTTCCATTGTTGAAACAAACGCCAGACGCTGTCCAATGTATACCAATAAAAGGCGATTGTTATGTATTTCTGGTAATTACTGTCATTACTAACCAACGACAACAAAATCATTAATTAATTTCAAAAAATTAATTAACAAACAGAATGACTGGTTTTGGTTATATTCCCTAAAATCTGATGACAATCAGCGAAACACAAAGTTTGTATTGAATGGTAAGTTTGAATTGAAAACCTATGGCCTACCAGTCGATGGTTTTGATGCGGCGTTTGTCGATGAAAATGGTGACCGAATTCATTTGAAAAACAATTACATCTATTGGCTGGAGTACGGTGTTTGGCGCCAGTATGTTGTCCAACATTTTCTCAACTGTTCCGATCAGCGATACTATCGACAGCTGCCAACCGATGAGATTAATTCGTGGCAAAAATTTTCGGATGACATACGCAAACAGAATCCGACGACAAAGTTTGTTGAGACCAAGTTTCCGACGATTCCGTTACCTATTGCTGATGACAAACCAACAACACCTGTACCGGTGTCTAATACTACCGATCGGCCGGACAGTTCAGCTCAGTTGACAAATACTACCGAAAAAGATGGAAATTCTTCTTCTTCTTCAGTTGGGATAAGTCTTATAATTATATTACTTATTGGTAAACATTTTTGTTTTATAATTTTTTTTTTAATGTAAACTTATTGTTATTATCTATTTTTTTTTTTGGTTTGATTTACAAACAGTTGGTTTTGTTATCGGACTATTAGTGCTCATCGGTCTAACCATTTGGTGTGTCTATAGATATCTGAACTCAACAAAGAGGACGCCTACCGAAGTCGACACTCCCGCCAGTCGAAAGTTAGCCAACAAACTCAAGGACAGAAAAAACTTAAACAAAAGTCATTATTAGATAAATCAATAAGCGGTACACGAAAACGATAAATTAATTAATTAATTAGTTTTTACTTTTTTAAAATAACAAATTTGTATAAATTTTATATTTCAAATTTATTGTAATGTTAATTTGATTTGTTTTCATTAATTTAATTATTATTTTTGTATTTATTATATAWATATTTTWATTTTTTTAACAACTAAATGTATTATATAAAGTTTATACAGTACTATAATTTAATAAATAAAAACAATTTATTCAAATTATAATAATTATTGATTTACAGTATGTTATATAAGTTATACTTTACATACAGTAGTAATTTAATTGAATTTCATATAAAAGTTAGATTTATAAAAAATTAATTTTTATTTTAAATAATTAATCGTATATATTGTGTTGTGTTGCCGTCTTTTCTGTCCTGCTTTAAGTCCCGAGACTATAGTCGATACACACAACCCGAGATCTGTCCGCGATAGATCTCGCCGAAGTCTGTCCATTAACAGTCTTTGCTGAGGACCAACTTCGATTAGTCCTCAACAATAACACAGTCGACACAACGATGAAGTAATCCGTAATAATTGATACACGCAGTATAATAATTAAATGAATTGTTTATTTGATAATAATAAAATATAAGTATACAATAGTAAAGTAAAGTTCATAACAATATACAATACATAACTGCACTGCCCGGAACTGCTGACCAATGCTTTGCAAGTCGATGCAAAGCAGAGGCAGGCCAGTCCAGGCAGAGCCTAAGCTCACTGTTAAGAGTTAACTATTCGAAGTCCGAACTCTTATAGCTCTGTGTATTGAGCAGACTAGTCGAAGTCCTAACTCAACACTTGAGTGACTTTACAATGAGAACTACATCAGTATTTATATGCTTTTGAATCAATTTATTGTTTGCAGACGACACCAATGAGTGTCGTGTGCACACAAGCCCTACTATACAATATATAAGTTTCACTTAGACATTACTAAATATATTCCCATTAATAACAAAGCCATTATATTTACTACTTAATGTTCCCACTAATATTCCCTAATATTTCCGTTTAGTATTTAACCCTAATTATAATAGACTACTATTTTTATACTCGGGTAATTATCCCTTAATTTTATAACCTTAACTTTTAAATCCCGGAACTCCTGGTTTGTCCCGTTGGGACTAAAAACAGAAATCCCGTTTACAACCCTAATGTATATGGTGTCGGTACCCATCGATAGATGGCAGTACCGGCGCCACAATACATCTACATCTTTACATGACAATATTAATTATACAATAATAATAATAATAATAATAATAATAATAATAATAATAATAATAATAGAAATAATAATAATAATAATAACAATATTTACCTTTAGTATTACAATGTATTGATAGTATTCAGTATTAATGCAGTATATGACTCACTACTTATTATTTGAAAACAAAAGTATTATTAATATACTAATAACAACAGTATTATATGTGGCAACTCTACTTAGTATTACTACAACAATATTAATTATATTCAGTATTAAAACAATAGTATTAAAACAATAGTATTAATATACAATTTGTATTATTTAGTTATTATTTATAATGTATATAAAATGTATTTTTAAAATGTATTTAAAAAGCCGTTAAAAAGCCTATACAGTATTAATAACATTTAAGTGCGAATACTTTATCAGTATTTTAATAAGTTTTAATTATTTGCATATTTAGCAAAAATATATCAGTAAATAGTATTACTGATATAAGGCATTATATTTAAAAAACACAATAATTTGTATTATTATTTTTTTTTATTATTAAATTCATATTTTTAACCAAGGTCTCAATAATTTTTACAGTTTAAAGTTTATAAAGTTTTAATAAATTATATTTCAAATAATATTATATTTATTTATTTAATATAGCACTTGTTAGAGTTATAATAATGGATTAATATATCAAACAATAGTTATAAACAATATAATTATTTTTTTTATAGTGTCGTTCATAAACTAAATTTGAATTTTATAAAAAATTTATTAATAAAATGATCGTTACATTTAAAACAGATCTAAATTTTTTGAAAATTCAAAAATTATATATTCATTATTAATAGTAACTCAGATAACATAAAGGATAGACAGTTTATGAACATAAAGGGCTTATATAGAGTATATCATAGTATAGACACCCAACCATCCAACCAACCATTCAAACATTAGGACAGGTATACTAAAAAAAGAAAAACAAATAAAATGACAGCTCAAGGATCGTCACAATCATCGCAACTACAGCAACAACAACAACAGCAAACACCGGTGACGGCAGGTTTTCCGGCACCAGTGGCCACCTGTGCGATGCAGTCACTAACCAAAATGAATGTAATGTCGCCCTATCTGAGAATCTTTAGCAAAGACATGGCATTCAGACGGGCGATCAAAGTGTTTTGCATGTCGTACGCCGGCTATGACCAGTTGTGTCCGGAACTGTATCGGACAAAACTGGACACCTTTATCGAGTCTATGCAAGGCCTGTATGGCGAGAAACCTGACTACGATTTTGTAACCGATATTAATCGGTCGCTGACATTAGAGAAACTGGAGCTAACAATACAGGTGTTAGAGTTTAGCCATCGGGAGGGTATAGTGTCGGCCAAAATCAATTTCATAACCCATTTGTTTGACAAAGAAATCGATTTGACGGTTGACCGACAAAAACAATTGAATAAACTTATTGAACATCCCATGAATTACGATCAATACCGTAGCCTTAGAGTCGACAATCATAGTCTGGCCATTGAATTGGAAATTATAATGACCGACGGTAGCCAACAAATGGCCGGCACATCGTATCTACAGTTTTGTAATATACATACAGAAGGACTGTACAGTTCGATGAATTTCGGCGATCACGAGTCGGTACTGTTGAAAATGAGCTTCAAAGTTATCAAAGAAAGCGGTTATCCGGATCAATTGGTGGCCAGTTATCACATGCATTCGCTGATATATGCACTACAGCGGCGACTGTTTCGCTGGCGTATAGCGGCCAACAACAATAAGCCCAAACATCAGCCATGGCAGCACAGGACGACAGCAAAGTTCCGGCGCGACACCATTGACTATAATAGTGACCAAGCCTTTTGGTCATCAGTACCAGCGACCAAACTTACCGACGCTGGCCTATCAAAACAAATTGCCCGATTTATTGATTTGCAAACAGGTTTTTTCAAGACTGACCACTTTGACGGCAGTGGTAGCTGTCTGTGCACCGAATGGTGCAATTGGGTTGCATTCTTTCATCACAATCCCATCTACCGGTTCCTGTTTGTCCAGCACTGTCAGCTGTATTTCCCTAACCGAGCCAATCTGCCCGAAATGTATATGTATACTGTAGCCTATCATCTATACAATTCCAGACTTGGCCTACCTATCAGTGCACAAACACCTGATACACCATTGCTTCGACTGATGGCCGATGCTGTCCACTACAAAAACGTCTGGCATAAGGAACTCTATCTCAAGAATCACCAGTTCAGGACCAGTCACGAACAAACACATCCGATGCCCGTTACCTGCGATGCCATACTCTACAAAGTACTTCGTTGGGAAACACCGATCTACGATCTATGTGTTCAATCCGATTGGCAACCGTTAGGCCTGATTTGTAGCGACAATTTCATACAATATTCTGTCCGATTGGCTGAACTACACAAACGAGTAGCCCAACGGTATATCAGCCGATCGGACGATAAAAAATGGTCAAAAGAACTGGAACTCGTTCATCGAAATAATTTTCGACAATTTCTAACCTACTGTTGCCAACTGATTATCCAGAAACTGATTATCGGAACCGATCGGTTGTTTCATAACGAAGACAAAGATAACATGTCCAGTAGAGGACAGTCGACTATTGACAAACGCGTCCAACAATTGCGAAAACATGTTTGGCAATTGGGTGCCGACGGAAATCCATTGAACGTACAATACTTTTGTCAGCCAATTATCAATTCGTATTTGTTGTGTTGTCGCCGATTTGTCATGAAATTTGAGGCCACTATCGGCAAAGCCAGGAGTCAGGGTATCGAACCTACCTGTCAGTGCTTTATTAGTTTGGACAGTAATTTTGTTGTACAACACCAGATTAGTCGGGCCCTATTTAGTGTCCATAAGCAATGGTCACCCGTGCACCGACTATACGCGATAAGTGTACCGCTGATGGTGTGCTATACGTTGCGTTTGTATTCGCTGGCCAGTGATCTTCAGCGTCTGTTTGTCGATTATTTGGCCAAAGCTTACGCAGACAATCGGCTACCGTTTCAAGCGTTCAAAGATTACAAYCATGTCTTTGATAACGAATTCATTGAAGAGACCATCAGAGATGAGTTGATTAATATTGTATTGTTTACACAAACCGACAAAAWGTTTAAGACAGTTGTCGATGATTTTTATTTGGTTTATTGGCGCCGACCGRACCACGAGGTGTTGGCCAAACCGAGTTCTGACCAGTGTCTGCAGTCGGCWTTGTTTCAGTATAACAGACTATATTTTTGGTGGCGTAACGGCGGCAACCAGCGGCCAAAGTTTACACGCATTTTAGCACAATTTGCCGACACCATAGACACCATTATTGGCCAATCGGATCGGGTGTTCGATGATTACATACTGAAAGTTGTTTATCATATTATGACCACTTATGACTACTCGGCCGAAGTRTTGGACCATTTGGTCTACTATTTGGTAAAATCTGTTTGCTTTATGATTGTCAGAGCCGTCACAATGTTTCATCAGTGCCTATACTCGTTARCCAATCAGCGGCTGGTCGGCCRAAACGAAAGCTACGCGCTGTCCAAACCCGGTTGGATACCAGTGTTTCGGACAACACTGGAAACAGTTRGTCTCGGTTTGGAATCACTAGCCATACGTTACTGTCTATACGATGACGAAAMCAATAGGATAGCCAATACTGTAGYCGAAACCAGACAACTGGTCAAACAGATCTACAGAGTTCATTACACATGGCTTATTACACAGTTTATCTCCGAAATGATTACAGTGGCCACTAATACCCGACTGACTACACCCKATAGATTGGMTTTTGGTTRTCTACATTTGGCCAACGGTTTGGCATTTATTGGTGCACTGACCGACCAATTTCGACGCGATTCGCGATGGTATCGCATGATRTTAACTAAKCAAGTATTGGTGGCCTCCGCCCTTGGCCAACAAGCCGGCTATCAGATAGATCTACAACAGTTTGMGCCCGTAATCGATCAATACATGGCCGATCCGATAGCCATCGAAACCGGCCAGCCGTTTATGCCGTCGACCGTTTGGTACAATCAATTGCAGCCGTTGTTTGCCAAGTTTGACACAGAAACCGAGCAAACATTGAAAATTGATTTGTCGGTCGCCAATACTACCTAAGCCCGTGCTTTTTAAATATAATGTTTGTGTATATACAGTATATTTGTATCAAAAATAAAGTGTATGATAAAAAAATTGTTAATAATTATGTTTATTATTTTAATTTATTTAAACAAAATATCAATTAATATTTAATAACTACTGTAATAACTATCGAAACACTGGGTAGTAGTCAACTACAGGTAGATAATTGTTGTCATTAGAAATTAATAATAATTTTAATAATATTAACATTAAGTATTTCATTGACATTTTTTTTGTTTAGTAATAGTAATAATAATGACATCAATTGATTGATTTATAACAAAAAAAAATTACATTAAAAATATGTCAATTATAATGATAATTATTATTCTGTATATTATCTATTAATAGTAGTAACTTAAAAGTTACGTAAAATTAAAAAACAATTTACTTTCAAAACAAATTAAGCAAAATTTTGAAAAAAGTTTATTTTTAATCAACAATTTAATTTTATAATTTAWAATTATTCAAATCATTTAAAAAAAACGGTTAATCATTTTGATTCAATCAATTGGTGGGAAATTATTATTATAGTACGAGTTATGGATGAAAACAMARCAGTCAAAGACAACKATAGGAAACSGAAAATCGATGACAAAGACAAAGCAAATGCAAAAACTTCTTCGACGGTCACAAACATCGAAACTAAAGACATCGACAGTCCAATGATTGTAAATCCCACTGAAACCGGTAATAGGACGCCAATCGTTGATAATACAAATGCTGACCAACCCATACCCTTAAACAACAACAACAACGACGACGACAACGACAACGGACAGCCACCTAATCCAGTGCCTGCTGTGGCTGATCCTGATTGGGAACAACAACAATCAGAGTTGACATTTAGACAGGATATTAGAGATAATTCGAGAAGAAGAAGAACAAGGATTGGTTCTTCTCGACGACGACAYAGACGAAAAAGTTTTCACACTATGAGACGTAATGCCAGAAGAAAAAAAAGAAGTCGACAATCAAAAAGAAGAAGAATAAGTAGTAATAGAAGAAATAAGAAGAAGTAGATGAAGAAGAATATTAAGAATTAGRTCCAGAAGTGTTGTCCAAACATAAAAATGATTGATTGATGAATAAATGGTTATGAAATTATGTTTWAAAATATATTTAGTTGTATTATGAATGAAATCAATTSAATTAAACRRTAAACTATTAATTAWAAAAATAGTCTACAAATARTTTTATTATTATTATTGTTATAGTTTATAGTTAGCTTGGGGTGGGGGYGGAGGTGTGGTAAGGGTGTAGAATATATATATATATATACAATACAATAAATAAATAATTGATTCATTTATTCATTGAGCGCMCGTAAATCTGGCGGAAACTCGTAGCCGCGTCCCTGGGCTACACCATCGGCATAGTAATGGGTAAGCAGTACCCGATTCACGTGCAACACTGGCCGAACAGTCCAATTGACGGCCATTTCTTGGTCACAACTTTTCGGTAYAAACGACACCGTAATATCCGACAACACATCGCCCGWTGTGCGCAACSTCTCGACAGCCACTGWACGCAAACTGTCCGTCAGGTCGTAACAGTTGGTCAATTGTAATGATTCGACGGCTCGACTGCCGGTTGAAGTGCATTTGGTCGGCACWGAGGCCAACGCACCGACAAAGTGTGGCCTCTGTTCGAACGGTGCCGACTCGTCCGGCAAATTCAGGTATACGTGTACAATGAGGTCAGACTCGACGTASGCAATGGACAGCTGTAGAGACGACCGAACCTGTGGTGTCTCTTCGCGGGCCATAGCGCTGAACAGTTCACGGAAACGCGGATTTATCGGCAAACGAACTGATGATCGGGTAGACGAATGCCKGAGCCGTACGTCGGTTGCGTTCAGCGACAGCCAAAGTCGGGGCACTTCGCGCAGAAACTGGTCGTTGCGCGGGACGTGCAACAGCTCGGCGTAGTCGTAGCCAAGCGGTCCGGTATCGAGAAAGTCRCGSGCGCGCACACGTACCCGAAGACCACGTTCGTCCCACATATCAAACGTTTGGTTTAATAGTGCAGCAGACAGTCCCGTACGGGCATCGGGGCCGCGCGTCCGTGTCCACGAATCCCAGATTCGGTCAATTTGCGCGTGATGTATGAGAAATACAGGATCGCGTGCCGATCGGCAATTATCGGAAAAATAGCCGTCGGGACCGCCTACAAGCAGATGGACGTTGTTGTGCGGTATGGCCTCCAGTAGACCTTCCCATTCGTCCTGAAACGTTGGTCCGCCGACAGCGCCGCCCAACGAATGGCAAACATTTAGTTCATTGGTTCGGTGATCGGTCGAGAAAAAAGTTGACCTCAACGCCGGTACAGCCGTAACCAGTGCCGGATTGAGCGGACGGCCTCGATTAATGTCGGCGCARCGTTCGGCCACAAACAGCGGATTCTGGTGCGGGTTATTCGGTACGCGAAACGGCAAGGGTAGGGCTCCGTCTTCATAGTAGTCCCAGTAGGGCAGTGCCAGTCGACTGTTGGGACCGRCGTGTCGTCGGAGAATACGCTCGAAAAAGAATAGATAGATTCGATGCCAGACAAGGAACAGATGGTGTCCGTGTTGGCACTGATGCCAACCCAATTGACGGGCCCGGTGTATGGCCTGWGGTGAACCGTCGTACGATTCCCAGCCGTGAACGTTGCTCTGGAAGGTAAACGAAAGCGGATCGTCGGCTGGCCGGGCACGCATAGCGGCCAACGCCCGACGCAATTCGGTCCATTCCGGGTAGGACAAGTCGCGGGCATTTTTGCGTACAAAACGTTGGTCAGTGGGAGCGGCTATCAATGCCAGCGCCGTAATGGCGCAGATGATAGTCAACATGAGGTACATTGACTCCGGTAGTTATGTATGTATGTATGTGTGTGTGATTAGCACAAGTGTTTTGCGGTAATAATATGCAATACTTATGTATTAATATATATATATATATATATGKTTTATACATGTAAATGATTTTTTTGTCAATTCAAAAATGTTTAATATGTATTGAGTGGGWTTTATAATGGGTTAATAATTATTATAARATATAATTAAAATAATTACATTTCAATTAAAATTACTTTTTTTAAAAAAAATTACAGTAGTAGATGAAACTCGATATATACTRTATATGTAATAATTAATGTAAATGACAAAATAAATAAAGGGCTAATAAATAATTACAATACAGTATATTGAGTATAAAAAAATATATGTCATCAAAAAATACTAAAAAAAAGTCAAACATATAATTGAAAATTTAAAAAAAATTACTTTCGTCCCAACACTAGACCTCCAATACCAAAACCGGCGCCAATTCCGGCCAAACCGCCAATACCTGCACCACCAAAGCCGCCGCCGCCACCAAAGCTGCCACCACTAAAGCTACTGCCGGCGCTAAAACTGCTACCTCCACCAAAACTGCTGSCGCCGCCCACATGATGATGGCCAACACGATGACTGTCCATAAATGTAGTTTCCTGAATGACAGGACTCGACTCAACCGTTTGAATAGTTTCGATGGTCTTGGTCTGGACGATGGGTTGCGATACGGACACTGTCCGGTGAACMGATACGGCAGGCGATGATACAAAAGAGGACGATGACGAYGATGATGAYGACGAGCCAAACGAACTGACACCTGATGTACCGAAAACACCGGCGCCGCCACCRCCACCACCGATACCGGCGCCACCAAGAAGGCCGCCCATAACGCCTCCGGCAACACCACCRCCGGCCAGTATGAAGGCTTGGACTGTCATTATTGTCTCGAGTATGACCAGAGCCATGAGGTAGAGCTATATTTTAAGCATTTAAAACATTAATTTATAGATATATTATTATAATATAATAAAAATTTGAATAATTAGTATTAGTATTACCAGAAAAGTATTCATTTTAGTGTTTTATTATTWTATATATATATGTGCCAAAATATATGATTATAACTTATAAATTATAACTAAATATATAGTTTTATATGACTGGACTGAACTGAACTGTACTGGAAGTTGATGTCCTATGACTGGCTATGAGGGTCTTCCCCTCCACTAAAATAGTTTATGTCTTTTATCTATATTATTGCAAAAATTTTTACTAAGTTTTAAGTACAATATATATATATATAAATTATTTTAAAATATTAGTCCATTAGTTAGACCAATAATAGTTGAAATATTGAAAAATTTATCTGAAAAATTAAATGTATATTTTCAATTTGTAATATAAGATTAAAGGATTAATAAGTTAATCATTAATACAGTGTGTGTATACAGGTTTGTAGGGTTTTTTTGTGTGTGTGTTGTCAGTGAAAGTAAACTACAAGTGCTATGTTTAGTACTGTATGATTAGTCAACTAAATTTTAAAAAATTTTACAATGATGCTAATGATGATGCTGTTAGCCTTGAAGATCAGTGATACTGTATCACTGATACTACATGTCTGGGGATAGCCTTCCTGAAAGGGTGGAGACCCATATGATTATCATTATTATTAATATTATTATTTTGATTATTAAAATATTATTATTTGATATTAATATAAATTTATATATATATATATATATATATATATATATATATATATATCATATAGAAATTAATTTGCAAATACTTGAATAACAACAACAATAATTGTTATAAAAAGTAACTAAAAATAAAATAAAACAAAATTAATTTGCATTTGTCGCCCAAATAATGTGTGTGTAATGTGTGATGTCTTTGATAATTATGTGACGCTTTTTTCTTGTATGTGTGTGTGTAAGGCAAAGATGCAGAGGAAGGCCGACACATATGTTATGCCTCTCTCTCTCTCTYTCTCTCTCTCTCTCTCTCTCTCTCTCTCTCTCTCTCTCTCTCTCTCTCTCTCTCTCTCTCTCTCTCTCTCTCTCTCTTTCTCTCTCTCTCTCTCTTTCTTTTCTCTCACTCACTTTCATTACTCCCGGAGCCTTATATAAGGAACTCCACTACCGACTGGGCGCGCGAAACGCAAGATGACTACTATAGCTAAACAAACTCTTGTAAGTATCGCAACAATAATTGGATACTAATCTCTGAATTGCGAAAATRATATTCATTATTATTATTATTATTATTGCATTTTTTCTCTAAACAAAATAAATAGTTTACTACAATATTTGTCGGCCTAACCGCCACCCTGTGCGCTGCCACCTATCTGGGCGGCTACTACGGCGCTGGACATTACGGCTATTCTAGTCGTGGTTTGGGACACTATGGCGGCTATTACGGCGGTGGTGGCTATCCGAAAGGCTACGGTTTGGGCAAATATTATACTACTGGTCACTATAGCTACCCGACCGCTTACTATGGCAAAACTATTGCCTATCCGTCGACATACCATTCCTATTATCCGAGYTACAGTCATGCCTACTACTATCGGCCAAAAGTGACGTACGCTGCCTATCCGCGCGCCTATTACGGCCACTATAGCTATCCTAAATACGGAAACTATGGTTACGGTGCCGGTATCTATGGCGGCTATCACGGTGGCTACGCGTCCGCATTGTACGCACCGAAAGTGGTCACCACAGCTGTTGTAGTGCCCACATACGCAGGCCATGGCTACGGYGGATACGGTTACGGTGGACTTGGCGGCTACGGTCTAGGAAAGGGCTACTACGGCGGCCACTATTTGGGCGGTTTGGGCTACGGAAAGGGATTATACTTAAAGAAAAAGAAATAGTGATTAAAAAATGATTTGTTTTTTATACGTTGGACTAAATGTTGATAAATTTTTTTATAAAATATATTTAATATATAGCTTTATATTTTATAACCTTGATCATTGTTTTTATATATAATTTTTTTTAGTAAATTTTAATTTCTTAGTTTTAGTGATATTTTTATTTGATATTAAAAAATGTTGTTATCTATATTAAAAGTTTTCATTTAATTTTTATGTATATATATTAATATATATTTTTGCAAATAATTTTGTTTTGTTGTTGTTTTCAAATATCAAGTTTTTTTTATTCAAATTGAGAGCACATTAAATAGTCATAAAAATTAAAATATAAATTTTTTAAATAATAAATAACTACTAATTGAAAAGTTGTTGAGTTGTTTTATAATGAGTTTTTAAAAATTCATTTTTTTTATTTATTATTATTATTACTGTATTAATTTGATTATAATTCTAGTTTCAAACCAACAAAAAAAATAAATCCTTATATTATCCTAATTATGATATTATATTCAATACTTTATATACAGAAAAAATATAATTATATAAAAAATAAAATTCAATGTCTTTTCATAGAAAATATGAGTTTCACTTTAAATTTTAAAAACGCCTTTTGAATTTCATTTTGATATTTCAATTGAAAATTCAATTTTCAATTTTATTATTTCAAATACTTCATAACAACTTTTATTTATATTGTTTTCAATAACTTCAATACTCAACACTAGAAACCACCGAAAAATTATGATAACTTTGACGGCACAGTCCTATCGTTTTCTACTGTTTTCTTCAGTGCTGCTAACGGTATGTTAGACTATATATAAATATATGTCTCTTCCTATATATCCCTATCCTGTCTTAATGACCACAATAAATGATAGCACTGTATCGGTTACAGAGCTCATGGATAACGGTATCGGAGGTCATACCCCACTCGCCATATGTTGTTCCCCATTGGCTCCAACCGGTAGGCTTTTCCTATGCATTTGTGCCGTCGCACAAATACGCGGCCAATGTTGTCTCGGTTAGCGAATTGTTGCGTTTGGTCGACCAGATGGCCGCTTCGTCGGCCAATTTCGATGCCGTGGCCAACGAAAGCACCGAAAAGGCTCGGCTGGCTTCGAAAATAATGGCCGATTCGGCCCGCGAAATTAAATCGCTGGTCAAACGTAGCGAAGAGTTGGCCAGCGCTATGGCGTCGGCGTCGCGCGATATGGCCGACGCCGTGCGCGTACTTGGCGAGCGGACACGTATACGCGGACGCGAGTTGACAACATTAGCCCATAATGTTGCGGCTGCTGGTCGGTCAGTGGCCACCAATGCCCAGTGTCCGAAAGCTAGTGGTAGTGGTGGTGGTGGTGGCAATAACAACAACAAAAAAAGCAAATAATTGTGTCATTTTCAGCCGATTACCCGATTTTTTTTAGTGGCCGATAACAAAAACAAATTTAATTGTCAAATATTTTTTGCCGATTATGATAAATCAGTAGATAATTAGTGATAGGGTGTGACTTCAAGGACTTTATTATATTATATTATATATATATATATATATATATATATATAATTAGAGATATTTTAGTTTAAATTATTTAGTTAACAGTATATTATACCAAAATATTTATATATTATTATAAAATTATAAATATTAATAATTTTTAAAAAATATCATTTTTACCATAATTTTATGTTAATAATAGTTATGAATTTTTTGTTTGTTTGTAGAAATTAAACTAATTGTAGTCAATTTTTTAGGTAAATTAAAAACATTTTTTAAAAAAAAGTTTTATTATGTTGATCACTTAGTTTTTAAAAAATATATATATAATTACATTGTGTAGATATAATAAAATCTTAAATTTAATTTATAAGTTAAAAAAAACTTTTTTATTCAATTAAGCAATTATTTGGTAGCAATAAATGTCACGTAATTTTCAACACACATATTATTTGCATAACAATTTGAATGCTAATTATTTTTAAATTTTGTTTGTAAATTCAATTATTTTTGTTATAATTACTTAACGTTTTTAACAGATTTATATATATATAATTTTCTAAAGAATTTGCTAGAAATTTCAAAAACAACAAAATAACTAATTATTAATTTATTTAATTAATTAAAACAGTATATTATATTATTAATACAATTGTATTTCAAATAGGATTTCAAATGCCAAATAATGGCAAATAATAGTTTAGCGAAAACAATAATATTAATATCAATCGTAGTCTTATTTATAGCTAGTTTTGTCAGTTCATCATCGATAGAATCAAAGTCGTCGTCATCATTGTCATCAACATCACATCCAATACCGGTTCCTAAACAATACTACGCTGCCGGTGGCGTCAATAGGGGCCAGCGAGGTGGTATCTATGATTTTGAGTGCAAAAGTCAGCAGTATATTGATGCCATTTATTTGATTGACCTGGCCCAGTGCGCACAGATCATATGGGATCAGCAGCCAGATCCCAAACCCGGCCAACCGATGCTCGAGCTAACTGCACAACGGTGCTGCTACTATAAGGATCGTCAATGTCAATTCATACACCATGTAATACATATACCTATATATATATATATATATTTATACTTAATTTACAATTTAAAAATAATTTATTTTTTTAAAAATACAGTACAAAAACAATTGCCGTATATTTGATGAAAACGAATGGTATTACTCGTTAGTCAAACTATATGATGAATTGCAAGAGGACTGTCGGCTTAAGGCTAACATTGAACTGAACGACCAGTTTTGCAATAGTATTAACAAAGTGGACTCAATGCCCAATATCATGTGCCAGGGCTATCTCCGGTGTCCGATTGATAATAAGTTCGGTAATGTGACCATCACTACACAGTATATACCGCTTGAAATGGGAAGTTCGGCCATTCGGGTAATTGTTTTGACGGTCGGTAATAGTCTATCGATTGCTATAAGTTTGGCATTCATTTCGCTGATTATACAAAAATATATTTACATATAATATTTGAAATCTAAAATTAAAATATTAATTTTTATAGTTTAGTTGTAAATACGGTTTAGATCTACTGTATATATATATATTTTATTACCGTATTTTATCTCATAATATACTGTAAAAATATCAATAATTTAAACACAACATAATTAAAAATAAATAAATAATTACAATGTAGTTATTAATATAAATATCTATTAAATTTTTTTTTAATAAATTTAATTTAATGTTAATCAACAAATAATTTATGATATATGCAGTTAATAATTATAATAACATTTTTTTATAAAAACATCATTTCGTTGATAACGGTATAATGAGTACACAATTTTTGGCCTCTTTATTGGTAAACCATCGGCCCAACCGATGTTCCTGACCTATCCCAGCGACCAGATGTTTGCCGTCGGGACTAAATTCTAGACTATTTACAAAACCAGTCTATAATAGAAAAAAACAATAATTTTTAAAAAATAATAATAATTGTATTAAAAATTAGTGACAAAACCCGATGACACTTACAACAGATATGTTAATAATTGGCTCTAATTTACGAAAATCTTGCGAACACTTCCACAGTCGGACTAAACCATTACAAGAACCTATGATTTAAAAGTGAATTGAAATTAATATAAATAAAAATCTTGTCCTTAAATACATTTATAGTCACTGAATACTACTAACCCGTTGCTATGAGATCGGTATTCTTGATGACGGCCACAGCGGTCACCCAATTGGGTGCCGTAGCGGCCATTCCGTGAGCCAACGGATATGTGGTCAACGGTTTCTTTTTCAAGACACTCCATAGACTTAGGGAACTATTTGTTTCGCAGATTAAAAACACAAAAAACATAAGACAAATACAATCACCGAAAAAAATAAGGAAAATTGTTAGACAAACCCGTTATCATCGGCGGTAACAAAGTGTTGTTCGTCCAACAGTTTTACACAGTCGATGGAATGCTGCGACCCGTGAAACACTAGTTGCGACTCTTCGGGTATCTTCCAAACGCGTGCAGTCGAGTCACGGGCGCCGACAGTTATCGCCCGATCTCTGACATAGCTGTCAATTGCCTGAATCGTGTCCTGATGGCCGAACAGTGTCTCCACGTACGACATCTCATCCAAATTCCAGACTTTAACCGATCGATCAAACGATGAACTAAACAATTGATGAAAACCGCGCCGAAAAACCAGTCCCGATACTGGGCCCCGATGTCCGCCAAATGTTTTCAACAATTGCATTGTTTCGGGATTCCAGACGTTAATCACTTTGTTGGTACAACCGGTTGCCAAAAATCGGTCGTCACTGGATATGGCCATTGCCAGTATATGGCCCGAATGGCCTACAGTAGCCGCCGGCTTAGCAATTATACCATTCGGTAAATTATCGGTAGATTTCTTGGCCGCAACTTTGTTCTTCTTATTCTTCTGCTTATTCTTCTTAGACTTCGGATTAGTAGTTTTGAGTCCGGCAATTGTTTTCACACGTTTACCGACGGCAAAATCCCATTTAACAATTGCCGAGTCTTTGCCGGCTGAGAATACATAGCGCTGATCGTTGGTAACCAAAACAATCGTTACGGACAGTTTGTGGCCATTTTTCAATTGACGAAACGACTGGTCAGTGTCGTCAACACCAACAGCAGTGGTATAGTAGTTGTCAGCCACTTGCCGATGAAGTCGACCGGTTTTTTCGAGAATATCTTCGCGCAATCGGTCGCCAATAGCGCCGCTATCAACGTCTTGGCCGTCATTCTTGAGCCGTTCTTCGCCTTCAATGGACTCCAAATACTTTTTGGCCAAACGTAGCCTCTTTTCCTGTGGTGTCTCCCGATCGGCTTCACTATCATAGGACACATCACTGTCGCCACCGGCGGCGGCGGCTGCGGTGGTATTCAGACCTTTAAGACCGCGTTTGCGACGGACGGCAGCTTTCTGTTTGCCGCCGCCGGCATCGATGTCCACATCTTCGTCATCGTTTGAATCGCTGCTAACAATCTCTTCGTTTAGGAATTTTTTTTGTTGTCTCGATATTGTCTTCTTTGTCTTCTTCAGAAACATTTTGTCCGTCTATTTTATAGTCGATTTGATGGTAAAAAAAACTCCGCGGTTATGATATCACATGCATTATAATCACACAAAACATTTTAGATATTAATAGACGACACACACATGTATTGCATGTGTTTTTTGTTAAGTACTTAAATAATATAATACTGTAATAAACACAACATTATGGGACACAACAACACGTGTTGTATATTTGTATGTATTGTATGTATGGATCAATAGATGGCATATATATTATTAATATACATAAAACTGTTGTGAAAAACATGTATTAGTTTTTATTTTTAAATATTATTATACTATTATATACAGTAATAAATGATATTTTAAATGATAAGCGCCTCCCCATAATAAAACTGGGGGTGGGTATGTGTAAACTTGTTTTTATATTACAGTCATACTACTAGTGCCCACCATACATACCCATCCTCCCCCCCGGGGTATTGCCAACACACACACACATACACACACTATTAGATAATTATATTTCACTAACACATTACAAGTAGTTTGACTCACATTTTCAATATATTTTTTATATAAGTATTATTATTATTATTAATACAGACAACACATTATTACAATATATTGTTGTATTAATACTATACAGTGTTAGGGGTGTAACACACAAACCGATACACATATACATACATACAGTACATAAAGACTTTTTAAATTTTTTAAAAATGCAAATTACAACAAAAAATTGTTTATTTAGTGATATTTATTATTAGTTAATGTTTTTTTGTTTGTTGTATATGTGTGTATGTGTTGTGTTTATTTTGTTGCTGTAAATTATATATATATATATATATAGTTGATAATTATTATTATTAATAATAAATTGTAATAATAATAATAATAATAATTTGATTTGTTTAAAAATATTTATTTATTTATTTATTTATTGAATTTTTGTTTATGTGTTTTATGATTATATAATTATTGTGTAATTTTTATACAATATAACAACTATTCAATAAATGTTGAAAAATTGAAATAATTTTTTTAATTTTTTTTACTAAACTTTACCATTGACTTACATTAGGTTTTTTAAAAATATTATATAATAGTTAAAACAACATTTAGATTGTATTATTTTTTTATAGTTTTTTGTGTTTATTTTATTTATATTTTAATTTAAATAATAACTAATAATTGTGGTTTATATTTGTTTTGAATATACATATATAATATACTGTCATATATTTGTTATGTGTGCACACAATGTATTGATGAAAATAAAATTCAATATAAATATATAAATGATATCATAGTATTTGCAACAAACAAAAAATTTTTGTAATAATAATAATAATAATAATTAAATATTATATACAGTATCATATATACAGTTTTAAATATATATATATATATATAGTTTTTTTGAAGGGAAGTGATGCCAATGTTAAGCTATAAAAATAATAATAATAATAATATTTTTTAATATAATAATAACTAATTAATAATTACATTTTAATACTGAAGTTACTGTATATATCTATTAACCAAACGGTGCCGTTTGTATTGATCCCATCAATACATACATACATAACATAATTGTATAATACATAGTATACCACATACCGACACATCCTATTTATTTTATATACTGATATTTTTTTTAACAGACAAATATTAATATATTTAATGTGATTTATAGTTTATCATATAATATATAACTAAAAAATAACAAATAATAATAATTTTTAAAAAATAAAATCTATATATGATATTTAATAATAAATTTATAATTTAAAATTGCCTTAAAGTTAATATTTTTAGTTTTTCTATAGTAAATGTAAATTTAAATGCATTTTTCTGCAAATATTTAATACATTGAATTATACGAATAATATATATTGTTTTTTTTAATTTACTAAATTTTAAAAAATTTTATTAACGTATACACGGCAACATAGTATATGTATTACATAAATTAATTTATATTATTTGTTTGTTTCAACTATAATATTAAATTTTTAAAAAAGTAAACATTATCAATTTTCTTATATATACAGTATATACAATAATTAGTAATAATATGTGAATAATAGTGTTGCTATTTGATATAAAAAAAATTAAGATTATTATTATTTATTTCAACAAGTTTTTAGATATATTGGTTGCGCAATACAATTGAAATATCACCATCATAATTTTTGTGTTGTTTTTTCATTTTTCTATATACAACAGTACATTACACCACACATAAAGTGATTTGTGTATAAAAAAAAATAATTATTATTTTCATTATAATAATATTTTTAAGTCTAATTGTTGTATAGCTAAATCATAGCATTTGATTATATACAGTAGTATTTTCAATGCATTAATAATTTATATGATACGATAAATGTTTTAAGTAATAATAATAATAATAATATGCATATTTAGCGTAATAATAATACAACTATATAATTTGGTTAAAAACTAATTAATTAATTAATTAATTAATTAAATAGACTGTGAAAATATATTGATTATAATTAATTAAAATACACCAAAAACAACAACAACAAACACAACAATGTGTATGTGATTACATTAAGTGTAATAAAAGTTGCCATATATTTAGTGAGGACACACATCAACAAACAATTTTTTATTTAATTATTTTGTTTTTGGGGTCAGATCACCAGCAAAAAAATAAAAAGTTTTATAAATTTTATTTATATATAAAAAAAACAAACAAAAACAAAATGAGTAAATTAGTGAAGAAAATCTTCGGCGGCGAACGCCGTATCAAAGACAGCAGTCCCGGTGGCCAACAACGGCCTGGAGGTGTTGCCTGTCCGGACAGTCCGGCCGAGCATCGTATATCGGAAATTGGACAACCAATGAACGTCAGGCACAATGTCCACGTAGGCTTCAATCCGGATACCGGTAAGATCGAAGGTCTGCCAATGCCGTGGCTGGATCTGCTACAGGAGGCCAACATTACCAAAGCTGAACAATCGGAAAACCCGACGGCAGTATTGGACGCACTCAAACTGTATGCCTATTCGTTTCGCAAGAAACCCGACAAATTTCTGGCCAACCAGGAGACCATTGACAACGAAATCGAAGAAATTGAACACCAATTCGGTGGCAACAAACCGTCGCCGTCGCCCAATGATGTCGGCTCTCAAGACAACGACGACCAGCTGTCGTACGCCATGAATACGCAAAAGTTTTTCGACAACACTGGCCATACGATACCACCGCCGCCGCCGCGATCGCCGGCCATCATTGCCAAACAACAACAACAACTAAAGCCATTGGCAAAAGATTCACACAATTATGTGGAGTACAATCCTCAGCATAATAATCATAATCATCAGCAACAACAACACCAACAGCCACAACACCATCATCAACATCAACAGATGAATAAAGATCACCATCAAAATGGTGAGCCACAGATGCGCCGCAAACCGGCACCACCGAAGTCACTGACCGAAGAAGAAGTGATGAGCCAATTGAAGTCGATTGTCAACAATCGGGACAATCCGAAAACACGGTACAAGATATTGAAAAAGTTAGGTTCCGGTGCGTCGGGTACTGTCTATACGGCTGTCGACAATCTTACACAGGATAAGGTGGCCATCAAGACAATGGATTTGGCCCAACAACCGAAAAAAGAGCTGATCATCACCGAAATTAAGGTCATGAAAGACAATCAGTAAGTGATTTTAAAACAATAAAAAAAAATTTATTATCAATTTTTATCTGTGGTATATATGATATTGAAAATTAAAATGTAATGAATATTATATTACAATTAAATTTCAGTTACTGGTCTATACAGTGTATAAATTTATACCAGTCATCTACTACTGTAGCTCTCAGCTCAGGTAGTAAAATATAAGGTGCACTAATTATATACAGTATATGATATATTACCTAGGTAATATTATATACTGTATATACCGGTATATATATTATCTAAAGTCATAATCCCACGGTTAAATGTTATATCAAATATTTAATATATTGATTTTTTTTGAATGTATTTATTTGATTTCATTTAATAGTTAGTAATTTATACTGTATTAAAAAAAATATTGGTAATAAATATATAGAAATTTTCTAATTTATTATCAACAAAAAAAATGTTTATTTAGAAATTAGTTGCAAAATAATTACAAAATATATTTTAATATCACTTACTGTAGTTATACTGTAGTTGTTTTGTAATAAGTTAGATATTATGATTATTATTATCATTTTAGGTATCATTTTTATTACTATTATTATTATTTGTTGTTTTTATTTTGATTTCATTATATGATATTTTCCATGAATTACTGTATTGTAATTGAATAGACATTTAAATTAATGAGAAATATATTTTTTTTGTTTTAGAAAAATTATCAAAATTTATTTCATCAAAATAATTAATTTTATAAATAAGTTTATTTATATTTTTATCATTTTATTGCATGTATTTACCGAAGTTTTTATTTTTATTATTATTATTAATAATAAAAATGAAATAAATGTTTTATTCAACTGTTTTTTTATAAACTGTATATTATATATATATATTTAATTGGAAATCATTGATTAAAATTATTTATAAAAAAATAGATTTATTTATTTAAATATCTATTTTCCTTATAATAAATTTCTAATTATATTAAACTGATTGTAAATAATAAATATTTTATTCAATATTTTTAATTTAAATTAGTTTATCTCTTAATTATCATTAAACTAAATTGATATTTTAAAAACATTTTTATTAATATAGTGTTAATCTTAATATGATAATAGACACATAGTTTAATAATAAGTTTTATCTATAGTGTTAGCAAAAAAAATATAATTATCTCAACATTTATAAGCTAACTAATTGTATGGGTTTGTTAAGTACTTTTTGTTATGTGTTTTTCTATTATATTGTACTAAAAATTTTTTATTGACTTTGTTTACAATTATCTAATCTAAAGATTATATTTAAAAAATTTTTTTTTGGTTTTATTATCAAATGCTAGACTTAAAAACTCTTGTTACAAAAAAAATAAAATAAAACTTTTATCAATATATATATAACTAAAACTTATTATTTTTGTAATTTACTTTTGTTTGTCGATTGATTTTTTTTCATTCAAAAGTTGATATACTTATGAAATATTTATGTTTTTTTCGGAAACTTATCTCTAATTATTAAATTGCAATTTATTTCTATTTGTGTGCAGACATCCCAATTTGGTCAACTATTTGGACAGTTATCTGGTTGGCAATGATCTATGGGTTATAATGGAGATACTGGAGGGCGGAGCCCTTACCGATGTGGTTACCGAAACAGTGATGCGCGAGAGTCAGATGGCGGCCATCTGTAAGGAGACTCTCAAAGCCGTTGCATTTCTTCATTCAAAAGTTAGATCTACTTCTTCTTCTTCAAAGTTTTAGTGTCAATTAATTTGTTGTCTAAAATGTTTACTAATTTTTTTTAACATTAGGGTATAATACACCGGGACATCAAAAGCGACAATGTTTTGCTGGGTATGGACGGCACAGTCAAAGTAACCGACTTTGGCTTCTGTGCCCAGATATCGCCCGATGAAAAACGACAGACAATGGTCGGTACGCCCTATTGGATGGCACCCGAAGTGGTATCCCGTAAACAGTATGGAAACAAAGTTGATGTAAGTGTTGTTATTATTTTTTTGTGATGATTTATGTTTATACTGGGGATAGGGTGGGGGGAAGATATCATTTATTTAAAAAAAAAGTTAACTTTTCTATTTATCTAACTGTGCTAATCTACATACTATATAAAAATAATTGTATATACAATAAAATACAATACATTTATCTAGCAACTTTGAGCAACTTTCCCATGGAGGCAAGTTCCCTAATAAAATTCCTCCAATTTTCCAGAAAAATGTGGAAAATATTTTATTTTCCCTCCCTTCATTGGAAAAAATATATATACAAGAAGTAATACAAAAAAAAACTTAAATATTTTGCAAAGAAAAATATATTAAAAATTAAAAAAAAATTAATTTCAAATTAATTAATATTAATTATATTATTTATCAATACCACTCAAAATAGAGTTTAATATAACATTTGTTTTTAGGACAATATAATTAAAAAAAATTATGTTGTTTAGGGTTCAATAGGTGGTATCATAAGGAAATATATTCCCTGGGAATACTCAATGAACAGGGAACATTTTTGGATAATAAAAAAGAATTTTATCGAAGCCTAATTATATTTATTAACATTTATGTATATATATAACTATTGTATATTAAATTGCCCACGATTGTTTTAAATTACATAAAGGAAAAATACTGTAATAATTTTTTTATAAGAAATTAAAATCATATGAAATCCTACACATAAACCACACACACACACAAAAACTAACAAATTATTTAATACAAACAAACAAAATATTTTAATTACCGGTAATTTTTTATATATATATATATACAGTATATATAAAAAATTAATTAAAATATTTTTTGTTGTTTGTATTAAATAATTTGTTAGTTTTGTTTGTGTGTGTGGTTTATGTGTAGGATTTCATGTGATTTTTATTTCTACAGTATTTTTCTTTATGTAATTTAAAACAATCGTTTTGATTGCAATCTCTCCCATCATTTAGATTATTAGTATTATTATTATTATTGCATCATTAATTGTAATTCACATTAAAAAAAATGTAAAATTTTTTGTTTGTTTTTTTTAAAAAAATGTAATTATTATTCAACATTTATAGACTATTAACGTTAGCGTTACATTGGTATAGATAGGTTAAAAAAAATTTTTAAATAAAAATATTGGGTATTAGGTTACCAAATCATATAATGATGATAGCATACAACTAAAGTAATTATCTATACATATATTCAATGATTTTATTTTTGTATTTGATATAAAATGTCAATCATATGTCAATCATATATATATATATATATAATGTGTAATTTATCATATATGGTATTTAATAATTATTTAGATATTTAAATTGTTTATTTTTTTATATATCCAAATTCAATGGGGACACCCCTTTTAGATATGGAGCTTAGGTATTATGGTTATCGAGATGGTCGAGGGAGAGCCGCCCTATCTAAACGAAACGCCACTAAAAGCATTGTATTTGATTGCAACTCACGGCAAACCCGAAGTCAAAAGTCGTGAAAAATTGTCGCCCGAATTGATTGACTTTCTTGACCGGTATGATGTGGTGACTGATTGAAAAATTATTTTAATAAAAATTTTATCGACACTACTATTGTTGTTTGATTTTTTTAATAGATGTCTTGAAACTGATGTCGAAAAGAGGTCGTCGGCCGACGATCTATTGAATCATATATTTTTGTCGAAAGCCGAAAATTTGTCGACAATAACACCATTGATAAAAGCGGCCAAAAAGATACTCAACAAATAATTTGATTGATTATAACAAACAAATTGACACAAAAAAACACAATTATAATTATATAACACAAATTAGGTTTTATATTTATTATTTATATAAACAAAAACAAAACTAATAAATTGACAGATAAGAGGTTTTTTATTAAGTTTTTCAGTAATAATAATAATTATTATTATTATTTAAAACAAAAATATTTTCAAAATATATATATATATATATATATATATACCCCGCAACATTTTTTATTATTGGATGTCCACCTAAAAACAATAGGTCAGGTCATCCAAAAAAAAATGGAAATAAATTTGGATAATATTGAGGTCACAAACACACCTATTAATTGGTTCACATCATCACTWTATCATCACTTTCTAAGATAATATCTATTGAAGATTATAATTACAATTATTGATAATTGTTTTAAAAACTTTATTGTATTTATTTTAATTTTGTTAAACTTTATTATTATTATTTTTATGTTATGAATGTATAAGGTATATGTGTATTTTAAATATAGTACACGATTACTATATAATATATTATATTATATATTGATTTGATCAATAGATGATATTAGATATTGATCTCTCATTTTTTTAAAAAATATTTAAATTTAATTTTTTATTTTCATTATATATTTTTTTGTCTCTGTTATGAATCATACTTATCGTACGATACTATGATATTAGCAAAATTGTTTGCCTACCTATTAGTGTGTGTGTTATTTTCATTTTAATGTTTAGACTTTTTAATAGTAAAATGTTTTTTTTTAATTTTTAATTAATTACTAGTCATTTAATAATAATTATTATATATCATATGARAGTTTGAAATTCAATCATTTATTTAAATTTAATATTTTTTTTAGTAAAATTATATAATGTGTATTATATTTTGAAATTTATTAATTGAATGATTTACGGTACTACTAGTAAATCATAGATTCAAATATATTACTACTACTACTACTACTACAATAATTTTATTGTATTCAATGGTTTATTATTATTATTAAATCTATACATAAAAACCACATAATATTATACATGTAATATACATTTTATTATTTGCTCATTAATTATTAATGTCTAGTTTATTATTATTATTATTTTATTATTATTTATAAGTTGTTAAAAAAACTTATTTTTGGTTAAAATTTAAATGTTATTTTAGGATAACGTTTATAAYAAGTCAACAAACAAACAAAATCAAACAATTTGTGCCTTTTATTTCAATGAAAATTTGTCAAAAAAAAAATTATTAATTAATATTTCAATATTTTATATTTTTATGGACCAATTTTATTAGTTTTTATCTAGATTTAAAGTTTACATTACATTTAAATTTTATACATAAATTTTATATTTAAGATAGACTATTTTATAATGACAATATTTTTTMTATACAGTACTATTAGATATATTTTTWAAAAAATAAATTAATTCAATATTAATGTTTTAACAACAAAATATTTTGTAATAATAATAATATTATAATTATTATTACCTGTTTGTGTAATATTCATATACATTTTGTATATATTTAATATCAAAAATTTTAATCTAATGATATAATAATAATAATCAAAGTATTATTTTTTATAAACAAATATATTTATAATTACAAATTCAGTGTTTTTGTTTCTTTTCTATTAATATTTTAGTAAATTTGAATAATTTATAAATTTTTCAATAATAAAAAACAATATATATCAATAAGAAATAATTATGTCTGCATTTATAACTTATTTTAATTAAAAAAATATAAATAAAATAAAGTTTTTCATTAATTTGTGTCTAAAACTTTTTATTACTTCAAAATATTACTAATACTGTAAAACAGTTCCGATTTTTCTTATCAGTAAATTATATAAGATTTAAGATAAATGTTATAGGCTTTGAAAATAATATTAATTTAATATTAATATATATTTCTTAACAGTTAACACTTAACTACTGGTATATTAGCTGATGTTTCACCTAAAAAACACAAAAAAAAATTTTATCAAAAGATATATGGATTTTATAAATGTATTATAAATTTTGTTCAACTCTTATAACAATACTTATATAATTATATACTTTCATAATATTTCACGTGAAATACAAATATAAATAAATGAAATATTATTTATTTATTTTTTTAAAAAACGAAACAAAAAATCTGTTTAATAAATACAATTCTGTTTAATTTAAAACAATTTGAATTATTGAAAAATGTTGTGTATGTAATAAAGTATATAAAATATAATTTACTATAAATTGTGATTTATTTGAAATATACAGTCAAACTCAAACAAACGCTATTAGATATGAATGTCATCATTGGTTTAATGTTATCTATCATTACTGCAGTCGATTGTCTACCAAATTAGTAATTATTTAAATTTTAATTCAATTGATTACTATATATATATATATATATACATAAAAATTATATAATAATTTTCTGTTGAATACTACTATCCAGTGATTGTGTTGATCCAMAATCACTGCTATATGTKCCTCAAATGGATAGTARACTCTATGCATATAATGGYAAACATACAGTAATCAGTGAATTTCCTATCAACCATCCAAACAGTATATATGCCATTAAATATATCGACTCATCGGATCCGTTTGGCTWTAATAATCCAGGTTATAATTTTTTAGATAWAATTTTATTGCATACATATAATTCAATACAAACATTACTGTATAGCTTTTTTTTTTAAAAAAAATGRAAAAGAAATATATATTTATTTTTTTTATAATTTTTAGAAACTGTACACAATATCTGGATTTATAATAATGGATTCAATGAAACAATTCAACTTTTATGGAAAAATGATAATATTTATACTTTAGATCGTTATAATATCAATATTGTAAACAACAAATATTATTATATAGGTAGAGCTCCTGCAAAAGATGACTATCCATTTATTATTGAACAWAACATTAGTGAAAAACTAAAACCGGTATATATATATAGAGAGAGAGAGWATATATAAAATATGATTTCAATTATAAATATATATATAATATATATTGTGATAAATTATGATAAATATTATCTATCCTATTACTAATATTTATTTTTGTTTTTTTTAATATTTAGAAAATAGAGAACATTCGTTGTCCAAATGATAATATAAATTATAATATTGTTTTTATCAGTAAAAAAACTAAAAGTAAAGTTTTATTAAACATATATCCAACAAAAGATTTTATCGCTGAAAAGCCATTGAATTTAACAGTAAATGCTGTATTTGTTGTCAATGTAAGCGCCGGTAATGATGTGAATGTGTGTATAGTATCCATGTATTTGAGTTTTGAAATCAATTTGTCCGCATTATATGACATACATTTACTAACGGATAGAAACAATAATCAAACCATTATATCGACTATAWCGAGACGATCCACATATTATGTAGGAATTCAGTTCTATAWTATATATTTTGAATATTTTATATTATATTTTTAAAACATTTACTAAAACTATTGTATAATTTTTTTTTGAAGCCTAATAGTGTATGGGTTTTAGGCGATAACGATAACTGTCACTATGAGATATGTTTGGATAATACATTCAAAGCTATCATCATTTGGGACAATAATTTTCATATATTTATTGGATACTATTGGTTGTATCGACACAAAGACAGTCAAAATCATCATCAAAGTAGACATTTAAGTGCTAACATTGAAAGACTTAATACGGCATATATTGATCCCAGAGATAGAAAAATTTATGTCATTCAGGACAGTCAGGTCTTTGAATTCAATGAAAACTCAAAGTCAAGTATTGGACAAAATATTGGTGAAGTATTTCCACAATTAACACAAACACCGGATGCCGTCCAATGTATACCAAAATCAAGAGTTTGTTATATATTTCTGGTAATTATTTGAAATATAATTTTTCAAAAATATTATAAATTAATAGTTTTTTTTGTTATAAATAACAGAATGACTTGATTTGGTTATATTCAGTGAATTCAAACAATCAGTTTGTATTCAATACTACGGATACATTGAAAAGTCTTAATCTTCCCAATGGTTTGGACACAGCGTTTGTCGATGAAAATGGTGACCAAATTTACGTGAAAAACAATTACATGTATTGGTTAGAGTATGGAGTGATGAGACAGTATATCATTCAACGGTTCCTCAATTGTAGTGATAAACACTACTATCAAAGTCTTGAGACTTCTGAGTTGAATTCGTGGCAAAAGTTTGCTAACGATATCAAAGTCTATCATAAATCAGATTTTATTGAACATCCCTTTCCAATGAGTCAACAACTACTCTACGATCCCATAGATTCAGAACCAGATCCACACACAGACAGTACTCATAAAGATATGACTACACAATCAACAGTTAGCACTACATTAGTTGATGTTTCACCAAAAAACACATCAATTGTTGTAATTTTATCTATAGGTATATGAATTTTATAAATATTATAATTATTGAATTAAAATATTAAAACCTATTTCAAAAAACAGTCGCATCAATAGTGCTATTACTGTGTGTTTGTGCTATTATTTTCTGGTTTGTCTTCAGATGTCTGTTCACTGAAGACAGAAAACAAAAACAAATTACAAGACATCGAAAAATACGATCAAAATTGAATACAATTAAACACAAATCGACAATTGATGGACACAAACAATAATTAAATTATTTATATATCAATAGAAATACATTTTCTTATTATTTAAAAAAAATATTTTGATATTTTTTGTCTGTTTTTATATTTAAAAACTATTAAATTATATATATATATATATATCAATAGAAATACATTTTCTTATTATTATCTTTTAAAAATATAAATATTTTGATATTCTTGTTTGTTTGTATATTTAAAAACTATTAAAATTCATTAAATTTATTTATGATATATTTTTATATTTTGATTAGATTTGATATTATTATTTATATTAATTTTATTTTATTTTTAATATATATATATATATATAATACTAAATAGAAATAATAAAATTGAAGTGTAAATAAAATAATAAAAATAAAATAGTAAATTACTGGTACTGTAAATTAAATTGATTAATATAAATATTTATTACTGTAGACAATTATTATTACGATTACGAAACAACAACAAAATCTACCAATAAATTATTTCTATCCAATCAATAAT